ATAGGCCACTGGAGTGGAACCTGTACAAGTAGGCCTCTACATTTCAGGGGGGGGGTGGGGGTGGGTGGGTGGGTGGGTGTCTGTTTGGAGAGATGGTGACTGCGGCCATTGCAAGTCTTAGCAAACCTGTAGCTAGCATCACTCAATATGTTTCAACCGTTCTAAATGCAGGCTTGTGCATCCTGTATATGTAAATGCTCGGGAAGGGCACCACAGATATGTTGTATGACCTTCAGTTCACTAGAATGACTACACCGAGGTTTCTTGTCTCAAAACTATGGTCAGAGCTTCATCAACACGGAGGCAGGCAGAAGATGTATGGCAGCAACGTGAAACAAATAGCACTCTGGGCAAAAGGTGAAATTAAACATGGCGGGAGAGATTAGTTGCCCCTGCCAGCAAGTCATGATCTTCATGCGAAGGCCATAATTGCCACCGCAGCGCAAACAACGGCATACATGGCCGGGCAGGTGTTCAACGGGACCTCCAAGTCTATCGCTGCCTTTTAGCTGGAAGAGAGTGTACCGGGATTCCACCAGGCTGTACTCCATTGTTTGTCCCAGCCCTCGGTTCGGAAGAGAACCATTCTTCTACCAGTACTCGTAACATAAAGTATCTACTTTATATACAATATTTATAGTATAATATATATATATATATTATATATTATTTATATTATATATACATATATATATATTATATATCCTTGTATATCATAGTTACAGTTTCAGGACAGTGCTGCGAAGAGTTATGTCAATACTAGCAAATGTTAGCCTCAGATGTGACGCGGACTCTTGCGCGGCCGCAGTTGCGCTGTAGTGTTGAGGTCGAGTGTGATGATCGGGTTCATTCGGTGCGCATGGCAGGGCAGGCAGGACAAACACAAAGCACAACTTAAATGGATTGAAGAAAGGCAGTTGCAAGATACCACAAAAATCCCAAGACGTGTTGGAATAGCGCTGTTGAACGGACTATGTTTTTCCACGTGTTCCATTTTGCTGGGCAGTTGTTTATACGGCATTTGTCAAACACAGGTGTTACAAAACCAGTGGGGAGTCAATATTGACATATATTGACTGTTTGTAACGACCTTCGAGGGAATGTGCCAAAACCAGATGGCTGTAGCAGTGGTTGCAAACAGAAGAGCGAAGAAGGCGCAGATCAGGTACATGATGGACTTGGGCTCCATGTGAATCAGGTTCAATCTTTGACATATCTATATATCATATATCCGAGGTTGACATTCCGATACGCCCAAACATCACAATGGGCAGCGGCTCTCAGTTTGTGGTGCGGAAACCTGGCGGTTATCAAATTCTCAGATTGGTTGCTGCATGGCGCCTGATGAGTGGTGAAACCCGACCTGCCCAGAAACCACGATGTGCCAAAACCGATTCGCTTAAAGGTGCTGCACCGTGCCTTTGCTGACTTTGCGGTGCAGTTTGGGGGAGAGGCCAACCTCGGACATTGAGGAAGTGTTTTTCGGAATTGGGGGCTTAGTTAGCAGTATTTGTTTACGGTTTTTGTGCCCTCGTGTCATGCGGTGCCAATGAAAAACTGCGGGATCACACAGAAGTGGGAACATACTGCTGCCTGACTGCTACAGTTCACTAGTTTGGGCTGAGATTTTGCCGCAAGACTTGCAAGATCGGGGTCAAGGTTCCCTTGCAGAACACGGTGTTCAGGAGCTGGTGTTGCTGCAAAATTTGAAATGCGAATAGGGGGTGAAAAGTGACACTGACTCAGCGTTCTGACAGCATGTTCATTGAAGTTTTAGTATATCATAGTAATATATAAGTATCTTTAAGTTATTCCGCCATTCACTGTTCTGACTTTGTGTCTCATGAGTGCGCTTTCAGCCGCTTCCAGACTCGAGAGGTTTTTCACGAAGCGGCCTTTGACAACGGAATAGGATTGTGATATAACAACCCGAGAGGAGCTCCGTGCCAGCATGTTTTATTTTGGATACATGTGTAAGGCTGCTGATTGTTTGTTTTTTCTGAATGCTTGGCTACAGTACTCTGGCAGATTGTTTTGGACCTAACCATACCTAAAGAACCCTAAAGATATTTTTATAGAACAACAACTCTTTCAAGTACTTTGACAAACATGTTCTTTAACTTGTAGACATTCATCGGATTGCCGGGATGGACTGCGAGTGCTTGACACGCATGGCATGGAGATTGAAGAAAGATGCTCCGTTGCACGCTCACCCCTGGTGCTTAATGTCGGCGGAGCTGCTTGGTATGGTTGCTTTTGTTGAAATGCATGTGTGTGTGTGTGTGCGTGTGCTGATTTGCCGATGTCACTTGGTTCCCTTACATTTGATTGGAGCCACTTCAAAGAGCGCTTGTGAGGTGCTATTTACCACCACAGCTTCGACATTAGAGATTCTCGGTTCCAGATCCGGGCTTTTGTTGGTGCTTATTTTGCGGACGTTGACCTCTCGTAGCACTTGCACCGGAACGGGGTTGCTCCTCGAGACTACCTAGCAAAGAGGGTCGGTCATGAGCCATTGCGTTAATTAAGATTACCCGAAACGTGCATCAGATTGGTGCGTACTGCAAACCGAGAGCCTGTCCTGCAATTTGACCCAGAAGCAATACCAGTGCTTGTAGCTTCTTTTGCTTTGTGAAGGGAGTGGCATCTAGAATTCGAAGTCCTCTTCAAAGCCTCAGACACCTGTCTGGCCAGGAAGGCGCCTTTTTTCGAGGCGATGCTTCGACACAATGAGACAGGGCAGACTCTTTTTGGCCGCTCTGTGGATCAAAATGGGCGTCTTTTCGTCGATCGTTCTGGCTTCTTGTTTGAATATGTGCCCTGGCAGCAAGGCAAGGCTTTTGTCCGTCAGATATGTTTCTCAGGTCATGTTCAAGCATTCAATCTCAGAAGGGAACCGATTTCGATCTTGACCTTTTGACACCTCTCTTCACAATCGAGCTTGGTCGGCAAAAGGGCCGGCAAAAGGCCCCTGGGTTTGGTCTTCACTCGACTCAACTTAGTTATGCTACTTATTGGCATGCTTGCCTGTGAGCAGAACTCTTTTTTCTCGAGCTGCATCCCTTTTCTGGTGCGCAAACAACTGAGGTCTTGGAGTATCTTCGCACTGGGTATTGGCTGTTGGGCGATCGGGGTCGGAATCGAACCTTCTTGGATGCCCTCCGAGCAGAAGCGCTTTTCTATGGCCTCGATGGCCCTGTCCCCGAGATCTTTACCGCAGAGGTCTCGGAGTACTTTTCCATTTGGAGTGCAGATGATGGCCATGTTCCTCGCTTCAGAAGACAAGTATGTGTTGAAACATCCGACAAAGCTATCAGCCAAGATGTGTAGTGTAGTGCATTGTAGACATCATGTTTCTACATCTTCTGATATGTCTTGCCTTGCCAAGGAGATTATTTTCTTGATTTCCTTAGAGGACGATATCAATGACCCTTCGGCTTTCCAAGCTTCATTTGTGCCTGAGAGCATTTCTGGATGTTCTGGACATGCTGGAGAGCATTGCTCACAAAATCCGGAGAAAAGGTCGAATGACCAGAATGCCCACTTGGCACACAAGTATCCTGTGCAAGTCAAGCTTCCTGGAGGTTGTGTCAAGACGCTGTATGCGGAGGCAGTGGATGGTATGTCAGCTGCAGACATTGCCAGGAAATTTATTGACCAGAACTGTTTGAAGCCGGGCTTTGTGAAGCCATTGGAGTGGGTGGTGGGTGCAATCTGGGAGAATGCCAGGTCCAAGTACTACCCAGCCCACACACGGGAGATCTACATTTGTGCACGCAGACAATTTCAATGCACTCAACTTGGTCTGACATTCAATAGAGAGAAGTGGATAGACTGGTAGCGAGGCAAAAGGCCTTTGCGCACGGAGTTGCATACTTATTTAGTTGGTCAAATTCAAGCATATAACACGTGCGATCAGCTGCCATTTCTTTTGCTGTCAGTATGCGCCGCGTCCCTCTCATCCCCTCTCCGTCAGTCAGCAGTGGAGCTCATTTCCAGAGGGCCAACCTACAGCCGCAGGACATGGTTTTCACAGTTTCTGAAACTGAAGAGTCTAACGTCATAATGTAGAGCCAAATGAAGAAATACAAAGGGTTTAGGAAGGAAGAAAGGTCATCGCCCTTGCTGGAGACCATTGCTATTGGGTTCCTTAAGGATTCCTTACTGATATGATAATGTAATGCGTGTTCAACAGTTTGGCAAGCCTCCAATGTTTTGGTTGTGGTGAAGCATGAACATTAGAGGAACATGAACAGCAACAAGTTTTTGTTGGGCTTGGGATGGCTTGGGCTGTTCGTTTACCCCTGTTCTTTTGCGTGCGTACAGGATCCGGAACGAGTCCCTGTCCCGCCAGGCACACCTCGAAATGGAGTTTCCAAGATAGAGTCGCAAACCTTTCAAATCGGAAGCCCTTGTTACAGTGTTTGCCTTGTTGCTACATTTGCTACCATGTTCATCAATGTTCTTTCTTTAGGGGGAGGCCATCGCTATTAGGTTGGAGGCCATCGCTACTAGGGTGGAGGCCATCCGGGGTTGTATTGCTCGAGGTCCATGCTAAGGGACCAAAATCTTGACACCGACACCCGACATTGTGTGGAGATTGAATACAGATCATTCTCAGGATCGCTGTGCTGACAGGTCTTGAATGAGGTTCTTTTCTTTCCTTCTCCTGACGAGACATTCTTCCATACGCTGGTGCGGAAGCCTACTTACACAGCAGGGCCTAGCTACCTTAATATCACAGAGTACCATCAGGTTCTTATGATTCTTATGCTTCCATAAGTTGGCCCTACGATGACATTCTGCGAGGGTCCTGATTCCTCGTCGCTCACATGACAAAACAGCTGTCATTGGCAGAGTCATTGGTGCCATTTGTTGCTCAAGGCGATGAACTCACATTTTTGCAGATCCTATGCCACGTGTGCAGAGAATAAATTCACACGGAAGAAATCCTGGGAGGGCGGAGAGAGAACGATTGAAGCTGAAGCGCATGCTGATTCCACAGCGCCAGGTACAACTTTCACTTTCACCACACAGAAGGGCACTTTTTGGATCAGTCCTCGCGACTTGGAATCGCAAGGGGCTCCTGGCCTTACTACTAGGAGCAGGGACGCTACTAGGGCTCCTGGCCTTACTACTAGGAGCAAGGACGGTACTAGGGACTCCTGGCCTTACTACTAGGAGCAAGGACGCTACTAGGGGCTCCTGGCCTTACTACTAGGACAAGGGACGCTACTAGGGGCTCCTAGCCTTACCACTCACGGAACTTGCGGTCGATGTCTGTCGCTCGCTTCCTGCGGTCCTTCTGGCCTTACTACTAGGAACAAGGGATGCTACTAGGGGCTCCTGGCCTTACTACTAGGAACAAGGGACGCTACTAGGGGCTCCTGGCCTTACTACTAGGAACAAGGGACGCTACTAGGGGCTCCTGGCCTTGCTACGAGGAACAAGGGACGCTACTAGGGGCTCCTGGCCTTCCTACTAGGAACAAGGGACGCTGCTAGGGCTCCTGGCCTTACTACTAGGAACAAGGGACGCTGCTAGGGGCTCCTGGCCTTACTACTAGGAGCAAGGATGCTACTAGGGGCTCCTGGCCTGACTACTAGGAGCAATGTTTGCTACTAGGGCCTCCAACCTACTAGCAAAAGTCTTCGCGACTTGGAATCGCAAGCTTGCTTGGCGTGCATTGCCAACTGAGACGCACCACAGATCATGTCATATTTACTATTCTTGCTTGACGCGGATGCTAAGATACGTATCAGCACCCCTTTTCTGGCACCTTCGCCCGATCTCCAAGGCAAAGGTACACTGACTTTCCAACAGGAAGCCCTCCGGTGCTCACACTGAAGGAAGTGCCTTTGCTCACGGAGGTCCGAGTCAGACCCTGAATTTGAGTGGGCATGGTGTTTCAGTCACTCTAGGTCTTGTTCAGGTGTAAGGGCATTGCCAGTCGAACTGATGCAGACATATTAATATGCAGATTTATAGTCTGGGCATGCTGCAGTGCAGACCTGAAACAAGTATCAAATGATGTGCGCAATCCATGTACGTCCGACTCATATGTTCAATCTCCAACAGAAGGTTCGAGCTTTTCACCCGATCATCTTCGCCCGCAAGTTCGACGCATCCAATCACTCCAGCATTCGAAGCTTGGCCCAGAAGCGACAAGGGTTGAAAGGACGCTTTGCTTTAGGGCAGGTGAAAATGAACTATATAGAGTATCAATAGATGGACATGATGAATCAACAGATCTACAACATTCTACAAGAATGCATATGGCTGCAAGTAGCCAGCACGTCTCCACAATTGGCCTGGAGATTAAACTTAGAGGGTTCTTCGTGTGACTGAGGTCTGGAAGAACTTTCACCTCTTCGAAAGGCCATCAATCGCTGGGCTCCTGCAACAGGCCAGGATATCAAGCCGATTCAGCTCAGAAGCTGATCCTGCCCCAGAATGTCCAAGTAAAGATGGTGTGGAACGGTGGAACGCTTTGCAGATGTAGACAATTTATGTAGACACTAAAAAATTTCCTGATGTTCATGTTATCCTAAGACTTTTCCTAAGACTTTTCAAGATGTCTTGGTGTGGGTCGAATGCGTCTTCGTTTCTTCATACATTGATTCAAGCCCTAGGGGCACGAGACACCCAACATGCACCAAGCTTTTTCTCGAGCCTGAGCTGAATGTTTGATTCTATTTGCCGGATGAATTAAGACCAATCCCACCATCACAAGGCATTGCACTCTGTTTGAGACCTTCAACGGTCAGGAAGCTTCAGCAAGATCCTGGATGCAGTCAGCCATGGAGACCTCAGAGGTGCCAAAGCACAGTGAGCAGTCTCTTTTGAGCCTTCCGATACCACTTCTAGATTAGTACATTACATAGGTGTTTAACACACAATGTGTACTCATGTGATACTATAACCAAGTGTTCATGAATACTCGGCCGAAACGGAGCAAATCTGGAGCGTTTTTCGGGGAATGGTTTGAAACAATAGTTATGCAACAAGCTGTGACAGGAATTGAAAGACGATTCTGTAGACTGCCAAGACGCAAAAGCGCCGCCACGAACTCAGGTGCTGAGCAACAGCTGTCGTCAACATCGATCTTTGACACCCTGCCTGCCAGCTACCGTCTCTATGTGCAGCATGCGTTCCGATGCTCAGGATCAGTCCAAATTGGATGCACTCGCGGTCTACTATCACCTTCAAGTAGTGATTCAAGTTCAGACACTAGTGAACAAGCTCCGATTGCGTCCCAGCTCGGCACCTTTAGTGCCACTGAACCAATAGTCATACGTGTAGAAAGACGAAGGAGTGCCTGAAACTGGTTCACCTATCTTTCACGTTTCATGCGGAGGCACAGTGCGCAGCCACACTTCCGCGAGGTGGGACAACGGATACATGTTCTTGCCAAAAACATGGCTGAGAATACATTGAAAACCTAAATTGCAGCGCTTGTACTGACTGGAGCTGTGATGTTGCTCATACGTAGGATAGTACTTGTTTGATTTGCTGCATGTGACAATCACTCAAGGGCCAGTCAATTCTTGCCTTTAAAGCTCCAGTAGTCCATCAGCCAGCAATGTGGGCTTGTGCCAGAAGGCAAGAGTGAATGGCACGCTGTGGCTTACTGAAAGATATGCCGTTCCACAGGAGCCGAGTCAGAGTTTGGATACTGCTTTGACAGTTTTGAAGTCATAAAGACTAGTGTAGCCAGAGCTGAAGGGAAAGCCAGATGACAAGCAATGGATAACTTGCCTGACACGACGCCAAAAGACAACAGGATTATCGGCAATTATCGGCTATAGTATTGGTGGCTTCACTGCTGACTCATTTAAACATGCTTCCAAGTCGTTGCTCCCAGCACCTTCAGAGGATTTGCTTTGGACGCACTCACCCATACAATGGTTCTTTCCTCGGACATCGGTTTCCAGTCTTCGACTTTTGCAGTGCTTGCTTGGTCCTTGATTGCCTCATGTTCATGACACTTTCATGTTCGGGTTGAAAGTGGATTGACTCTAGAGTGGTTTGCCTTCATGTTTTGCCTATGTTTGCCTCATAAATCCGGCCTCCAAGCACTCGAATTTGTTGATAGTCGCAAATCATCCACTGTTTATGTACGATCAAAGAAAGCCAGGGGCCAGGGGGCAACTACTGCAGTGCCGTCCTTCCTACTTATCCTTGTTTTGCAGCCGTGTTTTCCAAGGATCCGCGTGGGCACAGGCCTGCCATGCATGTTTTGTTCGATGTGGATTAAAGCCGATGAAATGCCACGGGATGTTTAGTAGAAACAAGAAGCTACTAGGAACAAGTGCCACGCTAGTAGTAACAGGTGCCTTACTAGTAGTAACAAGAAGCTAGTAGAAACAAGAAGCTACTAGGAACAAGTGCCACGTTGGACCTTGAGAGGCTGGAATTCCTCTGACCTGCAGTTCCATGGTGCGGTCTCTGTCTTGAGCACCCTGGAGGCGCCCGAAACAGTTCTCTGGGTGCAGCTTGAGCTTGCAGTGAATTTGGTTTGTGAACCAAAAGAGTGGAGAGTCGAAGAGGTGGTTTCAGCGAAATGGAAAGAACGATCCAACTCCGGTTTGGCTTTAAGGACGACATCCGCTGTCACAGGGTCATCGAATCGTGGGTCGCCCGAAACAGCCTGGATGAAGACAATCAAAGTAGGAAAACAGCTGTTCAAAAATCATATGGCACTTGCATCAGGCACAACAGGGACTTTGGGCAGCCTTCTACTGGCACCTCGGGCAACCAGCACGTCATCTACAAATCAGTTGGGACACCTGGCATGACCGGGTCACTGCTCAATTGCAAGCTGTGAGTCATGGCCAAAAAGGCTGGCACACAAACTATCACTGACTTCATGGGGCCACAATGCAGCTGCTCAGAGTGTGGAAGCATGACAACCTCATCATTGGAGTCACACGCACACCCGCCCAGTTTGGTGTTCCTGAGGTTGGTCAAGCCCAAATGGCCGGAGAATATGGGTTAACCAGGAGCCGATCATACTTGATTACCGGGTGGAAAAGATGAGTTCGAGTGACGCAGAGTGTCACATACCAAATCAGATATTCAAAATATCGAAACACCGCAAGTGCGGACTCCAGAGGGCCTTACAGTCATTTGTAAGATAAAATACGACAATTAGTTTTGTCCAGTGGAGACATCTGGAGACCATTGTAGGCTACGCACGCTGCACTTCTTGTCAGAATCCACTGGTTCCTTGCTCGTCCGACCCCCTGAGCAAAGGAGCTTCCAGCTTATCAGCTTTTCAGCGTAGCGAAAGCTCCCCTACAAGGCAGCGAATTGCACCCCTTTGCGATGTGAAGATTGTGAAGGATCGGACGAGAGTTTCAGGGAATGATGATCCCACAACATCGCTACTGAAGGTGGCTTGGATGGGATCGAATCTCCCTTTGGGTCCATAATAGGCCTGCCACTTGGGCACCCAGAATCACCAGAGTCACTATGTTGCTCACATTGTGAGGCTAAGTTCATGCTACCCATGGCAGGTGTCCTCTCACTTGTTTGAATCGCAGGTGTGCCTGAAGCTGGGTGGTGGCTTGTGCCTGAGTGAAGGGTACAAGAAGCTGCGATGCGGAAAGGCATCCCTTGAAAAAAAAGAGTCTGTTGAGCAGTTCGTTCAGTCCGGTTCAGTCTGAAGAAATTAACAGGAGTCTTCAGACCAATCCATCAGGCCGTGACATGGGACGGTCTGAAGAACCGAGCCAACGGAGTGACGGTCGTCCCAGGTTGGTGGAAGTCGCCACAGGTTCGGCCCAATTTGCCAAGTGTATTGATGGAAGTCGTTGGGTATGGCAAAGGATACACATACAAACTGGCCATACAAATTGCTAACTACATGGTCCACGATGTCCACGGCAGATATTATGCCGTGTGTCAAATCAAAGGTGGCATTGTCAACGTGTTTGTTTTCCATTGGTTTTAACAGTGCCAAACACAGATTTCACTGGAAGCTTGATTTTATTTGTATTTCCATTGGCGTTAAGATGTGGAAGCTCCTGGCCACTGCGTTTCATGTCAGGAAACGTGGTTTTGAAAAACCGAGAACTACTTTCAACCTGCATTGAATACATATGCTTCTCTTACATCTAGTAACATGTACTTCCCCAAATCTAAGTTTCTGGTCAAGCAGATCTTGGACATTTACGTCCCAAGCAATGAGTTGGTAGTCTTCTCCTTCCTACCGCGGACCAACGGGTGTAGTGGGTTGACCTCACGCTCCTACCTAGAACAAAACCATTTGATGGCCAAGGACACATCTGCCCCGCCGAGTTTCCAGCAAACTTTCACTTCTGCAGGGCGATCAGTGCTTGCAGCAATTCTTGTGGATTCAGTAGCCCAAGGCTTTGCCTCCACTGCAACTGTTTTGTCCCCTTCGCTCTAAACTTGTCTCCTTAACCTATGGTTCAACATGGTTCAACAGAAAACTTGGACCGATACAAAAATGCAACATTCGAGGCCCCCTGCCAAACAACGCGGATCGAAGACGGATCCAAAACAAACGCTATTATTCCCTCACCCCCACCCGCCCAGCCCCACCCACCCACCCCGCAGCGGTTGGGGCTGGTGGGGACTGAAACCACCCTAAAGTCACCCATGCTAAATCAGCTCCTTCTGACAGCACCAAATACAATGGAGAAGTACAGCTCCAAGTCTTGAGACAAGGCTAGCGGCCTACACCAAGAAAAATGTGAAAAGACTGTTTTACCTATATAAACAAAGTCTGGTTGCTGACCATTCTGGTCCTTCTACGGCTGGGTCTTTCTACATTCCTTTACCACTTTAACACCGAGAAGAGCTGGTTTGTACATGTGATGATACTTGTATGATGAGTCTGTCCAAAGAAGACAATGATGCAGGCCATGCTGTGAAAAGCTAGCAAACGCACCAGCTTCTTGTTTGAGAAAGCCTATGTTTGTCCCTTGAGATGCTGCTACCTGCAAGACTTCCAGACATCAACAAATTCGATCCAACCAAGCACCTGACTTGATAACGGCAGAATTCTTGAGGACTTATTCCCTGACTTAATTTGCAATCCAGCTGATGTTGCTTGGTGCCTGCCAAAACAATCAAGACATGGGCATACATTGAAATTCCTGGAACCTCCAGAATCTATTATATATGTGTTATTTGATCTTGCCAATGTTAGTTTCTAGGAGGTTGGGATTGAGATGTCAACGGGGTTTGCTGCAGGTTATCCTCAACCCGGCCTTCAAGATACTCAGGCAAAGCTTCAGGCATGCCGGAGATTGAGTCTCGAAGGGTTGGTTGGTGTCTGGCTGCCTGCGCCTTTTTGTGGTTGCTTCTGCCTGCGTTGGTTCTTTTGGTTGTTGATTGCGTTATTAGACAATGTGTTTACATCGCAACATGGGTACAGCGCGTGCATGCATCATACAAACTATTTCCTTCACCCTATTTCAACCATTTTCAACCCACCGCAAACCGTGCATGACTCATGTCAGTGCACAGAAAATAACGGTTTGATCCTGGCAACGGTCGGAAGAGACTTGTGAAAATGCCAGGTACGTGTTGTATCTCGGCGCTTCTTCCTACATGATAGCAGCACGCCACAGGGTGACTTGACGCAGGCCATCAAGGACATAAGTTGTTGGGCTAAAAAGCAAATAGCATTGTTTACACCTTAGACTTAGACTTGGTTTCGAGCATATAATTAATAGATACATACTATGTGTATTTGTGTGTGATATTGTGCCAACTGCCCAATTGCATGGTGAGCGTTCCGCCTCGTCCCAGCTATGACAGCCTTCTATGACAGCTGAATCATGTAGAGTCGCAACCGCACAACAATGGTGCTTTGACGTTTGTCAATCACATGTACCATGGATGAAGTATTTTTTGACGTTCATCTTGCTGTTAGGGGTTTAAAGATGCGACATTTGTCGCTTTGGTCCAGTATGAATCGCAGTCCCAATATGTTCCAGGAGTTGTTCAGCTTCGTGATCCCAGATGTGCTGAGCTCAATCACTAGATGCCTATGTGATCAATGCATCTGTTGGCCAAGGTCAGGTGATCTGTGTCAGACGAGATCTGCACTGTGCGGATGGAGAAGGCATGGTTGCAGGTGAAGTGCCCAGAGTTGAGAATCAATGAGAGGTGAGTGGAAACGGATGAAAAAATGTGACAAAAGGGGCATTGTGGCATTGCTTGCAGAAGCATCTCCAAAACAACGGTTTTTCTAAGTTGCGGCACTTGTGCGAGGACCTTTGCTTGACCCTTGCAGATCCGAAGCACTGCGTTCAGGCCATTGAGAAGTCCGATTCATTCGTTGTTCTTTCGGTTTGGTCTCCAATGTTTCGGCCTCTTTCAAAGAAGTCCGAAAGTCATACTTGTATTATTTGCATCTGCACGTGTTTCAAGTTGGCCAAAGCTTAACATCCCACTTGTAGCCTCAAGGCGGCGGTATTTGGTATTTGCAGGACCAACATTCTCTCAAGAACTCTGCCTCGTGTAAGGTCTGTTGCGGGAGCTGAAGGTCTTGAGGACTGATACTGAATGATGAGATGTATAAAGTGGCAAAAAAAACTCGTTTTCTTGAGCCAAGGTTTTAGGTACCCCCAAAACCCAGCAGGATTCAGCCGCGAGTCCCACCAAGCTGCTGACGCAGTGATACTATGTAGCAATTGAATACAAGTTCTTCAAAGCAAACTGACTGTCTCATTCTCGTGGGAGAAATTGCTTGTATTTCTCGCGGGCTTCCTCAGTAAGAGATTTGCTCCCTGTGAGGAAAGGAACACTCATGAGAAGTTTCCTTTGGCTCTTCATTTTGGTGAACAAGTAGATTCAACGAACCAAAGGTGGCCACGGAACCCTGCTGGTTCCAACCCCAAAACGGACAGTTCGCCTGGAGGGGAAGAGAGTGGACCAGCACTGGCACGGAGCTTGGTTGTCAAAGTGCCCGCGCAATGCAGGACATGAACCCCGAGTTGTTTGAAAGTCATTAGTCTGGCATGTGGATTTCAAAGATGTGGCCTGATCACAGCAAGAGGGAGACTATGTTCACATATTTTCACCATGTTGACTTGCTTGTGTTGCTTCCTGCACAGCCCATAGAGCCCAGTACGACCACTGGCACTGATACCCGTGTAGACATAGCTATGGACACACACTTGTTAGTTGAAGTCTTTCATGAGCTTCCCATCTATCTATACAAGATGTGGATTGAAGCGAGTCCTCTTGAAGTAAAGCAGCAGAGCAAGTACAGCAATGCACTGTTTTTGTCACGCATCCTCCCAGTTTTCTCCTTGCGGCTTGTTCTTCGGAGCCTTTCACGTTGGATCAGTACATCGATATTCTGAGTTGGAACCATCCATGTGTGTTGTTCAACATCCTTCGAAAGTGATCAATCCTTTTCTTGGAAGATGGTGAGCACTGTCCTTAGTTAGCCTTAGTTGGTGCCATCTAACTTGACCGCATGAAAGAGCAGTTTGGGTCACTCACCCGGCAGACTGGTGTAACTTGGGCAGACCACGCATGGCTGAAGTGAAAAGACTGGTTGGTCTAACAGCCTAAGAAAATCCAATGACGCTGCACCGGCTCAATTGAAGCCCAGTGGCTTTGCAGTGCCCGTGTTGCACAAATCTCCGTGGACCATGCCTTCGTCGAAAGGATGCTGAAGCTCGGCAGCTGGCAGCTACGGAACCTATGCTTTGTTTTGCCTGTACGTCCCAATCTCATTCTGCTTTGGAATTGACGATTCGGACTGCTTCGAAACATTGAAAGAAAAGAAAGACGGAAATGCCAAAAGCCTTTGAAAAGCCTTTGAGCTGCAAATACTGTATCACGCCGAGGCATGGATGGAGAACGATTCCGACCCCTGCTGTGAAAAAAAGCAAAGTTCCGATTTGCGCAAAGCAGGAGAAACAAGCGCAGCAGGGCATGAGGAAACTTCAGATTTTCTTAGTTGTCTCTTTCGCCGCACCTTGGAACTAATTTAAGTCTAATAGAAATGCCTGTGAAACAGAATTTCAGAACGCCCGTTTCAAGAGGACGCCACTTGGAAAATAAATGAACATAATATTAATATGTTTGATGTTCTCGGAGCTTACTCCACCCACTTCGCATGAACCACAGGCCCGCATCGGCGTACAATTGGCATCCTGGCCTGGGGGAGGCTCCGATTTTGGTGTGGCATGGAGCCATTGCACATAAATTGGATTAAATTTGGTGATTTGGTGATCAAGACTGCGAGGGGCCTGCTGCAAGGATCATGTTGAACGGCAATGATTTAGCGTTGTGAACATCACAGTGATCATTGGGAATCGGGTAGATTTCTTAGACTTGCACTCGGTTGCGTAGTTTGTTTCGTTCCCAATCATTCAACAAATACACCCGCAATGAGGAGTGTTTGACGACCAAAACGTGCTAGGATGGACCAAAGGCGTCGGCAGTATGGAAGCCAAGTTTGAATGCCACGGTAACTGGTGTTGCTGCATGTTTAGGGAAGCGCAGTATGTGTGGAGGCCGCAAATCATTGTGACCTCAAAAAGTCTTGGCAAAGCGGCTGTTTGTCAAGCAAGCCATTACTTCTGATGTTGCCACCCGAGGTCAAGTGATGGGATGCGATTCAGCCTATTTTTGGCTGGAGTTTTGGAATTGCTGTCCATGCAATGCTGGCTGCTGGGAAAACGTTTTGAAGGAGCACAGATCGGATGCAGAATGCACGAGAAGTTCTTTCCCCGTATCGATTTGGGCGCGACCTTTGCAAAGGATTGAGATTCAAAATTTACAGCAAGGCCAACTCTGAAGTTGATACGTGAATGCTGTGGTTGTGCAAAAGACTGCGTCATCTGGAAAGCCTAATAATCCAACAGTATCCAACAGTGATATCAATGAGATCGGCTTTGGTGTGCTTTGTCAAGCAAAGTCCCCCGAACGGACAAGAGGCGCACTTCCGAACCATATGGCTGTTGCTGATCAATTGACACGGCAAAACCCAGCAGGGAGCGTCGCTTTTCTGAATGACATCTTGTGAGATGTGAGATTTTGAGACAATTTCCTCCTGGCGTGGGAGTGTCTAAATTGACTGTATATACTTTGCACGCCTCAAGTGCGGCTTAAAAGAAGCTCGCTGGCAGTAGCTTGGGACAACTATGCAAGTGAGCGTCGCAATGTTACATGGTCTAACATGGCTTTGGGGTGCACTTCTCAAAAGAAATCAAAAGCACATCTTACCTGGAAGGAACTGAATGAACTGGAAGGGAAAATCTTGAGATGGATGTTTTGCGGTTTCTGCCGTGCTGCTGCAGTGTTGGGTTCGAGAAGAAGACAATCATCGGGTGGTGGGCCAAGATGGATTTCATGGCGCAAAGGCAGGCACCTCAGTAGTTTGTGGAGAGACAATGATAGAGATGCAACTGGGGTGACTAGGGCCACTATTGTGCTAGTCAGGCTGGTTGCATTCCTTGTGCTTGGCAAGACTTGAATCGGGTTCGGGTTTGAGATGCCAGAAACAGATGTTTTTTCATGAGAACTTCCCGGTTCCTCGATGTTCTTGGAGGCCGGAAGCGCAGGAGTTCGTGCGACACGTAGAGGAAGGTTGCCCGGAAGCCCGGAGCACAAAGACCACGGTCACACACAATCACAGGAGTGCCAGGGAAGAAATCAGCCAAGCAATACGAAACATAAGAGGTAAAACCATGCAAAACCCAACCAAGATGTGCATTGAATACCCACTGATTCGGCGACTGCTTTTGGCTTTTAGGATATCTCCCAGATGATTTTCTGCGACAAGTATCATTATAGATCATTGATTACATGTGTGTGTGATTGTGTGTGTATATACAGACATATATATCTATATATTTGGTGTTTTGTTGGTAGCATGTGCGTACAATCATCGATTTACCATAGTTGTCCATGGTTTACCTTTGTGTTTTCAACAACTTGATCACTTACAGTTTGTGGTTCAAGGCCCATACCGAGCTGATGATGTGATGAAGCCAGAGACGGCGGTGTCGACTGGAACGACGCTGGCATCAATAGTTTGGACTTGGTACTGATGTCGTGAAGCTATGAGTATCTCGAACATGTGTTTGTCTTCCTTTTGCCATTGATATGCCTTTGAGGACAATTTTCGTGTGTGAATTCGATGGTGGTGTTGTCATGGGGGCAGACTCGCGAACATCAACTGGCAACGCTCTGAGCCTTTCCTGGTGGTCCTTGTGCGAAATGAATGCTTTTCAAGATCCTTCGTCCATCTCTTGCTGCGCTGTCAACAAATAATCAGTGGTCAGTTGATAGCACAAAACCACAAACATCAAGCATACGCAGAAGTACAGAATGCTTTCAAACAATACAGAATTGATGACAAGTCATCCATTGATCAAAGTCAATTCCCTCTTGGATTGCTATTAGTTGATGGGCGTTACCGGGATTCTTCTTTGCGGTATCATGCAGTTCACTCAGGTCAATACGTGGCCAACCGAGCTTCGCGAAAGATCTCCAAGGCCAATTTCCCAGCACAAGAGGAAGCGTATTTGCTGAATCACAAGTGGACAGAACTATCTCAATGATGCTTGTGTGCGTGTGTGAGACCAGGGATTGGATTTGAGGGTTCATGATGAGGATGGCGGCATTGCAACCAGAATCCGTATTCATTACAGTATCTGTATATTGTATGCCTTCCCAGTCCGAACGTCACCACTACTAGTTACTAGCTGTTGGTCATTGACCTCACGGCCTCAACACTCCGAAGTAGTAGCGATGCCCAAAATGTTCCTAGTAGCGTCTCTTGCTCCTAGTAGCAAGGCCAGGCGCCCCTAGTAGCGTCCTTGCTCCTAGTAAGGCCAGGTCGTGTTTCGAGCTCTTCGATGTTTGGAGCCGTCCCCACCGGTAGGTGCATGACAAAATCTTTGTGTGTCGATGCGGAAGTGCGGCTGATACCCAAGCTGGAATCTCAGAGTGAGCTTTGCGCAGGATCTTGTTTGCGTCTGCATGTTAAAGTCTGCGTGTGATGGCCTGTTTAGATCAGTTTCAAGGTTCACGGTGTTCAATGAGCGATGTCAACGTCAACATTTAGATTCAAGTTTAACCCAATAGGATGTCTTTCCAGTTGTTAAGGCAACTTTGCTTTTCTTGAACTGGAGATTAAGTGTAAGTCAAACATGAGTGACCGACAGCTGGCGAGTCAAAGACAGCTGCTGACAACCAGGCATTGACCACCTTTGTGGTTCACTACTTGGGGCAACATGCTGTAGAGCTTGGGCCGGGAACTGAGCAAAACCAAGTTCATCCAAGAATCTACACAGACAGCAGAAAGGAGATCCAACTTGGCGTGACTGGCCGCAGGAAGGCACCAACGGTCAACACAGCCGCAAACCTCTTCAAGATCATGGCTTACAACAACAAGGACTGAGAATCCCATTGCCCAGTGCAGTGGACATGGCAGGGAGCTATCTCAATCAGTATCGGCAAGTATCAGACAGTGTGCACTTTGCTGGAGAAGCAATCATGTATCGCGGTACAGACATGGTGGAGCTTGAATACTGCATGTGGACTTGCTGTGCATTTGTTGCATTCGGATGTACGAATTTCCAAGCGCTTACAAACCGTAGGACCATTTGCTGGCTGGCCTCATTGTCGCTGGATATGATGAGAAGAAGGGAGGACAGGCGCGAAGAGAGAGGGTTGACACAGTTTTGCACTTGCACAGCACTTTCCAGGTAAAAGGATATATATATATATAATTGGATTAGTGATTAGTAAAGGAACAAGACCAAGGATATCTCCGTGCTTTGACATGGGCCAGTGAATGAGGTCTACTCCATCCCTCTGGGTGGAGCACGTGTTCGTGTTCCCTGGGCCTGCGATGGTTCTGGCTCTGGCTATATCAAGGGCTTCATTGATGCCAACTATCGACCTGGCAACGTGGCCTACCAAGGGTTGGAAGTGGTGTAAACCTGGAGAACGATTGCATCAAAGGAAGGTGCTTGATAGAAGCTTATTTAATAAAGCCATGTAAGGCATTGTTATGATGTGACACTTTTGAATAAGGCATCTTTCCTTGCTGTAACTGTACAGCACTCCTCCTTACATCCTCAGTGTGTACGCGCATTTGCTTTTGTGTGTCTTTATCGAATATATGGCTTGTAAGAGATCTTTGGTGGAATTGTTTGTAGTTGTTGCAGGTCACAGGCAGGTTGCAAGGGGTTGCAGGTCTTGCCAGCTGCTCGACTTTACAAGATTGTTGCAAGCTTTTACATCCAAGGTATGTCAAAAGCGGAGTGTGTGGAGCTGCTTGGAAGAACAAAACAGAATACAGCCATGGGCCCGCAGCTGTGTTAACCAGTGCCGCATCTACGCCAAAATCTTGCCCCTATAGTTGTTCACCTAAGATGTCCGCAAAAAGGCCCAAGTGCCGGACATTTGGTTGGGACCTCTATTTCCTGTTGAGAAAGTCGCCAATCTATTCCAACTCCACGACCCACTGTGCGATCACTGTATGCCACTGAGTGGTCTTGAAAACTCTGGAGGTTTGTGCAGAGAGCCATCAGTTTGGCCTTGACTCGGGATGGCAGTTCCGGTGGCATGGTGCGCACATTGGTCATCACCAAGGACAAGGTGCCGTGTGACAGTGTGTGATTTCGGATAGGCTTGACAAGACCACAAGAAGGCACAGACCTTCCAGGCAAATGTGCTGGAAGTCCTGCAAAACAGCATTGATATGCACTGGAAGTCCTGTACATACAGATCGAAGTCCAGGATACTGCGGATCATAGCACGCGTTGAACGGAGGGTCGTATTCCAGGTGGAGGAAACGAACTTGGAAGGCAACAAGCTGCCTTTTGGACCCATGTAGAGGTTTGCACCTGAGCCTGGCTTGAGCCTCCCAGTTGACTTTGGCGGAAGCATTTTCTGCGGAGGTCTTTGAAGTCTTTGCTTGTTTTGGAGTCTTTGAGGTCGACTTCCTGATCCACCCAACTGCTGGCACGGCCGAGTGTCAGGCCTAGATCCCAGCAGGTATTGCCAGAGCAGTACTGACCAACCCACTGTATCAATTATTGAATGAAAATACTGCCCAAGCTTCTTCTTTGAATTGCAAGTTTCATAGATGCTAAGTAGTTATCGCACTGCCTGATCCTTGTGGTTTCGTTCTGATGGCAAGGTCCAAAGCGCAATCCCGAACAGAGCTGGCCTTCACAGGGCATGCGCATGAATACTAAAAACAAAGTCCGTCGCGGGCGAATCGATCCAGCTGTGCCTGGCATGACTTTTGCTGGGACTCGCCAGCTCCGCAGCTGCAAAGTGATCAAAAGTGAAGGACCAACAAACAACTATAAACGGATTATATAAGTGGTGGTGGGTAGTGGCATGTAGTGGCTAAGGTCCTTGCTTTTCATTTGAGCTATTTGGCTCCACATGTGTATCACATTCTGTCATTCCCCGCATTGCAAGCTCATTCTATTGGTTTCTCCGAGCATCCAGGTTTCCCCCCCTATGGACCCACGTTTTAAGGGTGTTTGTTCAATGACCTCAGGTGAGGCTGGCCCTGAAAATTCTACAACAAAAGCTATGCCATAAATATGAACATTTTACAACATGAATCAATGACCAAGTGAAAGCATCAGTGACAAGCCTAATGTCAATAGGCATAAAAGCAAGACCGTTACAGTAGATCATTGGCAAATCGTTGGTTCAGACCTATGTGGCCCACAAGCTGTTGGAGAGGCTCCTTGTCAAGCTTATGGAAACTTGAATCGATTCCAACCCAATAGCAATGGCCTCCAACCTAATTGCCATGGCCTCTAACCCAGTAGCGACGGCCTCCAACATAAAAGCGATGGCCTCCAACTGAAAGCTCAAAATTCAAGACTTTGTCCCAGGCTGCTGGGCCTGGCTACAGTCCAAGCCACAGCCTGTGCTAGAAGATGTGGTAGCAGAGGCCCGGAAGATCCTTTGATGCTCCAGAAGCATTAAGCGTGCCAGGCACACATGATCTAACATCACATGTGTTTTTGGTCAGCAGATGTGCTTTCTACATGCAGGCTTGGTGCCGTGTGCTTGCCCTTCCTAGTGGAGGCCCAAAGAGCTGACACTAGACTAGCGCAAAAGGCTTAGGTGGTATCAAGTGAAGTGAAGCCGTCTCATGTTTGTGAGCAGTCGTTTGCTGCTGGTTTGCTGCTGCTGCTGCTGCTGCTGCTGGTGCTGGTGCTGCTGCTCTTGGGTAAACATGTTTCATTCATACGTTCATTCGAGAACGGTGTGGCATCGAGATGTGTGGCCTAAAGTCATGCAAGCAAATATGTTGCCCATCGGGAATTCACATGACTTTCTACACAACAAGAAACACCTTGGATGCGCTTTGTCATTATGATTCCTTGAAGCATCAAATTCTGAAAATGTTTGCTGATGGCTCATTGTGCGCCCTGGTTTCTCCATGTGTTGCCCTTTAGAGCTGTTTTGACGTGTTGGTTTTGACTTTCTGCTGTTGATGTGACGTTCTTCCATGGTGTGACTTATACCCAGTTGATGATGTTGATGTAACTTAAACATACTTGAACACTTTGCTCGTATATAGTATCTCATAGTAGCTTTATGATGCGCGGAAGTTGCAAGGAGTTGCTTTATTCCTGTGAAAAGACTTCACACGGCCAAAGCAAAATGCACTTTGCATAGGTGTTCAACCCAGCGATAGCTTTGTTGCGCTGGGCGGCGAGTCACTGTTGGCTTTGCGGCCGGGACATCAGGGAGCGGAACTGCAGAAACTGCATGAGACCGCATAACACCCCTTGGCAACAGTGCTTGGAGTTGTACATGACATGACTTCCTACTGTGACTATGACTATAACTGATGAAGGCACTGGCTCCTGACAAAAGAGCGCTAGAAAGTCTGAGCACACCAGAGGCATCCTCTTGGCTTGGAGAAGTAAAGAAATAGAGTGTGGAGAGAAGATTTTGGGCAAGCCCATTTCACGGTGGAATCAGTGTCACCCAAATCAGCTTTTCTGACATGACATCGACCGCTTGCACCACAATATGCCACAATATGCCACAATCCTATTTTGATCAGCTTCGAAGAGGGCAAAGTTTTCCGATAATCAGTTAGATAGTTCTGTGCACGTTTGCCAGGGTTTGTGCAGCCTTGCGCTATGAGTTTGCAGGGAGTGAGGCCTGAGAAGGTTGCCACCTTGACTCATACAAATGCCTATATACTTGTTTTGTTTCGTTGAACTGCATTCATCCGATGGCGATTTGCATATCCCCGCTGTTCCGCCGACAGGTGCCAGACGACGATGAGGCTCCGGGCGGAGACCAGGTGCAGCGACAATTCATCGACCGAGCCGCATGTTTATCCACAACTTCCTTCAATACAGAAAACATAAATGAGCAAAACGACAACAGACAAGAAGCAATGACACATAGAGCACCAAACATAACCACAGCACATCCTGCCAGTGGCCACTAGTGGCCCAAATGTGGGGTCCTGCCAGTGCCACGCCAGTGCGGATCCACAACACACGATAGCAAGCACCACAAGAGACAACAAACAATCACAAACATAATGAAGGTACTACACGAAGCATTATATGTTATATAATATATTTAACAACTTAGGATGGCAAACAGTACAACAGACGACAAGTAACAACGACACCAATCGCAACACCTCATATAGGAACAAACCAGGTCGGGTGGGGATAGTTCAAAGTAAAGTATTGTTCTTAGTATTGCATATCTCAACTTATTTGAATTCGAGGTTCGCATGTGTCGGTTTGTTGCTGCTCAGATTGCATGCACTGGGTACCCTGTGGTAAACATGTTCTTTTAGAGCGGACTCTTATCGTTTCATGTCAGATACTTGATTTTGCATGGTGTTTTCTAACTTTGTTCATTATGTGTTTGATAAGTTTTCAGGCTCAGTATGGTCAGCTGTTTGGCGCTTTTGCCGTGTCCGAGCTCTTGAGAGCGCTGGGCGCTCGAAGCGCCACGGGTGTTTGGGGGGCAGAATTCTGTGCCCAATCCTTTCTGTATTCGATAACTACTAGCAATGGCCTCCAACCTAGTACCGATGGCATCCAACCTAATAGCGATGGCCGCTAATCCTTTCAGAATTTTGCAACTATATAGATGTTTACTGTAAAGATTTGCAAACTGGCGGTCTATGGGTTAGTATAGCATTGTGTAGCCGAAGTTATAGCATTGTGTGTTCATGCTAAGCAGAGTCTTAAGGGCGATGCACAGAGAGGTTTGAGCCCTGCTTTGCAGACCAGGCCAAGCCTTGCGGCATACTGTGAGTGTCTTCGGCTTCAGGGTGTCACTGGTGCACTAACTTCGACGACGTCGATCTCGGCATCTCACACAGGCAAGGTTAGTCTCAAGATGTCTCAAGAGTCCATTGAAGCTCGCAAATAGTGAGCTGGTTCACTGATTCACTAGTTCTATATAGGTGGTGCAGAAAACTCTGGAATCCTCAAAGAGAAGCCCTGCCTTTCTTGAGTCGCGTCATGATCATGGTTGATTTGCTGCCATTCCATGTTTGTGCTCAAGCCCTGTTTTGGGCCTCAATATGCACAATGCAGCCAAGCAAGGAAAACCCCAGGTGTCGGCCCACGCCGTGAGCGGAGTGTCAGGTCACGGGCAACAACCTGGGATGCAAAGTGGTTGGACAGCAGAGCCGTTCAGCAGCTTCGATGCATTTCCTGTTCTCTCCCAGGCAAAGAGCGCCTATCAGTGGCTTTGTAACGATGAAGCTGGGGCGAGGCTTACCTGGGAACGCTGCAAGGTCTTCGGACCTTTTATTTCACAAGCATGGTCTTTAATGGAATATTACAACGGATACTCAGAGCAGGCTATGGAGAGACAGTATGCCTTCTTTACAAACTTTAAGAGTACCTTTGTAGCTGCTGCAGAGTCTCTACCCATTGCTGCTCCCTTTCTTGCTTCCGCACATGCCTGCTCGGGCGACCGAAAAAGAGCGGAATGGATTGGGAGAAAGGCGTGTAGGAGTTGCTTGGTGGTGACGGCTGGAGGCACTGTTTGCGCTGCTGGGGGACCAGCGCTAGCCTCAAGCAGCTCCCTCATTGCCGTAGCTGCTGGAGCAGGAACGTTGACGGGAATCATGTGCGATGCATTCCTCGTTCCAAGACCCAGCGTGCCGAGACCCTTGACGCCAGGCCAACGCTTTGATTGGGCGGCCGTGCGCTTCTTGGATGCTTTGAGGGCCATGGCTGGGTTTGACCTGGTCCTGGTGTTTTGGCCCGAACGTGCTTCACAGATCTCTGTTTGGATTGAACCAATTTCAGTGGGTGATGCAGCACGGCTGGCAATGGGCCAAGGAACCTCAGCCGATGCTGCTGTTGTCGCCAGTCCTTGGAAGAACCATTTGTTTGACTTGGACAAATTTCCAAGTGGTGTTGATCACGTTTTCGTCATGTGGAAGACAAACAAAGGCCACTTGTTTGTCTCCGAACGTTTGCATGACGGACGTGTCTTGGTGGAAGATCTTCATAATGGCACCATGCTCCCCTTCGCGCACGGAAAGGCATTGCCCACAGAGGATTTGCATCGTGCCGCAGGTGGTGTGCCTGGCCATGGCGGCCATGGTCATGGTGCTGGTCCTTCAGCTGCAGGCAGCCAAGCCACTCTGGCAACAACAGCTGCAGAGGCTGCCAAGCAGATTTCAGATGGGAAAGCCCAGCTCTTTTCGGAGCACACACTCCAGGGAGGGCCAAGTGTTGTCCACTTCTTGGAAGTGGCTAAGGCCAAGTCTGCAGCAGGATATGACTTAATGCAAGCGAATTGTCAGCACTATGCTCAAGATGTGTGGAACTTTGCGGTGGGACATCGCTTGGGCATGCCCAACCAGGACTTCTTGAATATTTTCCAACTCTTTGGAGCACCAGCTCGCGGTGCAACGGTAATGCAACCGGGAGTGTTAGGTAATGCCTTGTATGCTTTACGAGATGCAGGGGCCTGGCGTTTGATCTTGGACGCAGCGTTGGTGAAATTGCCTGTACTACCAGCACACGTTGAGACTGAAGTGGAAGCTCCACGGACACGGACGGAAGACAGCCGCGTTGGCGGCCGTGCTGGCGGCCGTGCTGGCGTTGAATCAGCACCGCCCCAAAGAGAGCGGACCTGGGTTTAGAGAGCTCTATTGACCAAAAAGCGGAGCTGGAAGTTGTTCAACCTGTTTCTCGGCTTTGACCCGGTTTGCTCATTTCACACTCCCAAGAGGGGCCCTTCTTCCTTGACCATCGCAGGGGCTGAACGAGCTTTAGAAGTCTTGGAGGAGGCTGGCAGAGGAGCCATCGGATTTCTGATTGTGAACAAACAGCTAACAGACACCCAAGCCAAGCTTTGGTTGCGCAAAAGCGGGTTTTGGATGATGTTTGAGACGCAAGCACTGGCCTTGTGTGTCTCGTACCCTGCCAGACATCTGGACGACGTTTATTGTGCCAATCTGCACGACAACGGGGAGCAGGTGAGGTTGCGCAAAACGTCCTGTCATTCATTCTTGTTTCTAATGGCTTCTTGCTCCTAGTAGTAAGGCCAGGAGCCCCTAGTAGCATCCTTGCTCCTAGTAGTAAGGCCTTTGTATCGGCAGGCGCTCGGGAAGCTCTTGTGAGGCTGCTGGATTCTGTGAGCCCACAGGTGGGAAGAAGTGGAGCCGTGTGTTTTGGTGGGGAAAGGTGATGTTCAAAGGTGGAGATGGTGATTCCAGAGGCATTTCCTGGAAAGGCATGGCCTTGCCTGATACCCGTCTCACGAACACAGGAATCTGCGCGATGGTGTGGAGCAACAAGGGTCATCAGCTCAGCATGGTCATAGTACGATGCTAAGTTCAAAATTATTTGCAGTCTAAATAGGCACGGGGCTCCTGGCCTTACTACTAGGAGCAAGGACGCTACTAGGGGCTCCTGGCCTTACTACTAGGAAGAAGCTCCTAGGGGCTCTTCTGGTTGTTGTATCATATGTATGTCGTATAATACATATATCGTATATATAGGGGCTGCCGCCCAGTGCCTCCACGAACCTCATCCCTCACAAAGGCAATTACAAATATCCGCCGGTTGTTTTCAGTTTGTTCCAGAGGGACCTGGGCGGTGGAGCACCTGGAACCACAGAGACTGTAGTGATGCCCTTGTTCCTAGTAGCTTCTAGCTACTGGTAGTACTGCCCTTGCTACTAGTAGCGATGCCCTTGCTATTTTGTAGTTGTCTCCATGCCAAACTTCTCCAACCATCCACCCCAGGATTATCCTTGTTTGCGCCACTGTCCACGATTGCCTTCCTTTTTTCTCGGTCCTTTTCATGTAGCCACCTTGTCCTTGCTTTGTTCTTTCCTGTGTTTTCTCCTCTCCATCAAGGTCATTCCATCTCTGGTGCAAGTGCCACCACTGGCAGGGTAGAACCCTCTCGAAACTCCATCATACGCTTTTGAGACCCGACTCTACATCTGATGTGCCTTACTACTAGGAGCAAGAGGACGCTACTAGGGGCTCCTGGCACCGCTACTAGGAGCAAGGACGCCACTAGGGGCTCTTGGCCTTATTAGGAGCAAGAAGCTACTAGGAACTATAGATGGCTCATGTGTGCCACCGATGCTCTCGGATGTTCTCCACCGACTCACTCCAAGGATTCGGGCTTCAATGCACTCCATGCCGCTGCGTGACTTGAAGTCCAAACTGGCAAAGTTCCGGGTGGAGAATTATATACCTGCCACATCTAAATGGTGCGGTTGTGTTTGGTGTTGTGTGAGCTAGATACGCTCCGCTACGTGTCATCATGGCATTCAACCAAAAAGTTGAGACTGGGAGAGCGTCATGTGTGAGGCCACCCTTGTGGTGAACAACTCTGTAGGAGCCTCTTCAGCATTCTAGGACCTCACAAAACTTGAAGACTCAACTACCTTGTGATCTGTTTGCTTGATCGAAATGCTTCGCTTAATTTTCCAGGCAGTCCGGTGCAGTGGAATGCCTTCAGCTATTGCTGGAGCGCAAGGCACCGGCTAAGCACATGCTGACTACTAAGGTAAACAAGCTTCCAAAGTCAAGCAATTTACTGTAGGCAAGCATAATGGAGAAAGGCACACAATTCATGCTGAATGGAGACCTTTGAGAAAGATGGTCGCTGACAACGTCAGACCTCCAACACCTTTCGTTCCGGACAGGCGAAGACCACTTCCACGGAAGCTGGTGCTGCTATGACGTAGATTGCCACAGAAAGGGCCGATAATTCCGATAATCCAATCATGGAGAGTAAAAGAGTAAGGTTAGGATGGACACTCGAGGCAAGAATTTGCCTCCGCAAATGTTGCTAAAGATGTAGTTTACTTCGGCATGCGTTGCCGATGTTTGGAGATTGATATCCCAGATGAGCAAGTACCATTTGTTACAAGAAAGGGCGCGGTCACAGTTTAGTCCTTCACGTATGGTTTGATCAGAACGAATCTGTGTTTGATGTTTCAAAGGGGAGAGCCTTGCTCAGGCCCATGCATTATGCGGCAATGGCTCAAGAGCCTGAAGCGCTGGATTCACTGCCTGAGCCTTTGCTTGTACTGGTATGACTGTCCCTTGTATGGAAGAGATGAGACAGCCTACCTACCCCTTTCTGCGTTTTGCTGGGTTTGAAGCTCCGAGCTAACATGGGCCAAGTTACAAAGCAAATTACTGCGAGTTGTTGTGGTGTAAAAGCTGTGATAGGAGGTGTGGCAAAATGTCAGGTCACATTTAATGAAGCAAAGCAGCCATTCACAAGCCAACCAAATAGACACTCTATCTAATGAGTAGGGGCCCCGGCCCACGTAGATGTGCAGATAATCATGCATCACATGAGAATCGAGCAGTTATTATGTCGTAAAATAATTGCATTTGTCCGGCCGCGACAATATGTGCTCTTTTGTCATCATGGATGCATGAAAGCAGTCTGTTCCAATGGGCAGGTTGCAGGCCAAAGACAGTTCAGAAATTGCAAGGGAAGCAAAAGAGTTGCAAGAGGAGCTAGAGCTTGAAGAAGCTGACTTGGCCCAACTTCGAAACGAGGCAGATTTGGTGTTGAAGCAGAAGCAGCAATGGGAGATGCAACTGGAGGTTTCTCGAAGCTGCATTCAGAAGCTTGAAGCACGACTGGTGAAGACACGCAGGGCCAAGGCAGATGGAAAGTTCGGAACCAATGAGGTGGACAAGCGCTTGTTGCGAGAGCTTGAAGAGCTTGTAAAGCAGCGGGACAGACTTTGCCGAGAGAGCGAGGCCCTTGGAGAACAAGCTGAGGAACATGACCGCGAGGTTCAGGCATTCGTCCATGTGCTAAAAGCTCTTCCACAAGCAAGGGTGAACGCTGCTGTGTTGAAGCAGGAGGTGTTGGTCGCAGAAGAGGAGATAGATGCTTACCACCAACGATTGCCTCTCAGCGACTTTGGCATGGAAAGGCACAAGGAGTTGCAGGAGGAGCTGTTGCAGTGCCAGGTTTGGGGAGAGGAGACTGCACAACAGCAAGAATCCTGCGAACGGCAAGCTAGAGAGCTTCAGGAAGAAATGGCAAGGCTGGCAGCAGAGGCCGGGGCCGCAAAGCAGGAAGAGCTAGCTGCAAAAGAAGAGGCGGCCTCCCGGAAAGTACAATGTGCTGAATGCTCCATGGCTTTTCGAAAGCAGCAGGTGACAAAAGCACACTTGTTGCGGCAGGTGCGTGAGCTGGAGGCAACATTGGCGCGTGCTCGAGGGGATGTTGCGGCTGAGCAAGCGGAGCAGAAGTCAACCAATGCCAAGCTTGAAGCTCGCTGCCGGTCTTTGCGTGAGGAGGTGGAAGAAAATGTGGCCTTACGCAGCAGGGCAATCGAGACGCGCAACCTACGTGAAGCCGAGACGGTCGAATTGGAGGAGAGCACTGCCCGTATGGCACTGCAACTGCATGCTGATCAAGAAGCACAAGCGCAGATCCAGGCAGCTTTGCACTCGAGCCTTCGATTCGCTGAGAGACAAGAGGCTGAGTTGCGGGCACAGGAATTGGTTGGAGAAGCATTGGTTGAGGAGGTAATGCAAAACCACGAAATTGAGGAGGCTTTGCGTAGAGAGCTCCGTCACGAGCGCCATGAAGCTCAAGAGGCCAGCAATGCAGCGCTTGCATTGCTTTCGAAGCGTCAGTTGAAGGCTGATGAGGCCCGTGAGGCTTTGCTTCAATGCAATGATGCCCTGTTTGCTTCTCAGAGGGCTGAGGAGGAACTGCTTCGACGAGAAGGGCAACTTGAACAGTCTGCAAGGTCTTCCCAAAAGATGCACGAGACTCTTTTGCAGAGGCTTTCCACAGTGCATGACAAGGTAAAGACTGCCGAGTCAGCTCATGCTCATGCACTGGAAGAGTTGCAAGCTGAACGTCGAGAACAGTCGAGGCTCAGCCAGCAGCTTCTGCTGGAAACATCAAAGCAGCGCTCCCGTGTAGCTTTAAGTGCACCGGCAAACGGGCGCGGACAAAGAAGCGCTCAATACCCGTGCATACCCTTCAAGGATCTTCAGCGCATGCATTTGCACTTCTTCATTATCCAAACAGATGTGGGCCGCAGGTCAAAACCTGGACCCCCCAATTTCCCTGAAAGTCTAGGAGTCTAGGAACTGACTTGACCATGCAAAGGGTTCTTCAAGAAAGCTTCTCCCTTTGGGAGAAGTTTCCTTGAAAGGACCAAGCTTTGCTGTGTCCAGCTACCAATAGCTTTTTCCATGCTACCTAGCTTTCTAGTCGCGACCTACACCTAGAGTATCCTATAGTCCGCCCACACTGCTAGTCGGTGCAGGGCGTGCTATTGAGGCTCTTGCCGTCGAGCTCTGCATTTTGGCTTCTGCTAGGGGGGGAGGGGGGGTGCTTTTGTTTTTTCGCGCGGTACATTGTTTGGATAATTTTTCGTTGCGTCGTGCTTGCAGGGCCACTGGGGAGAGCGTTTTGGAGGAGTTTTTGTGTTTTGGGGTGGTTGCTGCGTTGATTCTTGCTCGGCTGCAGGGCCAGCGTTTTGGAGGTGTATTTTTGGATGGCTTTTGGCAATGCCGAAGTTGTATCACCATTATGGGCCCAAAGGTAGACGAAGTTGGCCCCAAGATGGCTCCAACGCAGCCGTAAGACAGCCAACCTGGCACCTGGATGGCTGCACTTGTCCCCCATTTGGAGCCAAAATAGTTCGCAGAAGCTCACTTAAAATCCTGGTCCTGCTGGGGGAGGGCCGAACATAATCTGACAGATAGCTTCAATGCCGACGTTGTCTCACCCAAGCTGATCCCAATTAGCGTCACTATGGGCCCCAAGGTAGACGAAGTTTCATTCACTTCTGACTTAGGAATCACAAACCTCCTTTATTACAGCATCACCCCGTGAAGCTCCACTTCACTAACTTCGGATGTTCGTGCGCGGTGTGGGCGGCTGTCGACGCGAAGCGTCTTGAATATCCTACAGTAAATCAAACGATAAAAGAAAAGATCTGAAATGAATGTTTTCCTGGCACCACCATGCGTGGATCGGTCCTAGGCTTGCGGCCAAAGCGCCTCTGACAGTGCGGGACGCGCGGGGACAGTCGCTTTTGCACGTGGCTGGGACGCAATTAGTGATGTGCCACACGATGCATCAAACTAGAAACCCGTATAAACTCGTAGCATCCTTTAAGAAAGGGACAAAGTATGTAGATTACAACCTGGTATACCCAGGTTGGTTTCCATCAAATTATATAGTGCCTCAAGACTCCAAACCTGGTACATATTCCGATGATTCAGATGCACTGTCAAGACTTACGGAACCTTGCTGCAGTTTCCGTTTTCCTGTGTAATCTGGGTTTCGGGTTTGCACCTTTGGTGCCCCTTCAAAATATCGTCCAGGAGACATCGAGGCTGCTGCTGTTCCAATTCTGTTTAAACCACTGGGTTCCTTTCTGAGGCTGCTGCCCGCAGTGGCTCAAGTGAATGCTTGCAGCGGCTGCTGCAAAGGTCCAAGGAGAAGGCACGGGCGCCTAGCATGCCCATCGGTTCCACTCACTTGCGCACTGCCACAAGGATGGTAGCAGGGAGAGGCCACCCAGAAACACAGAAGCGCGGAAGTTGCTAGAATGGCAGGGATGCCCAGGCAAAGCGCGAATTGGTTTGACATGTTCAGGAACGTTAAAGATGCGCATTTCTCATGATCAGCATTTTGAAAACATGTGTTTTTTTTGCTACGACCAAGAAAAGAAGCAGTTGTTTTCTATAGAGGGCAGGTTTACATGTTTGCGTCATAGAACTCCACCACTGGACTTCACCAGGAGCCTCAAGAGCTGCATTGAATAGTAAGCAGTCTGAGCAAACCCAAATGCGCAATGGCAGAACCCACGCGAACTTTGATTTATCTCAGGAGTGATAGATGGGCCCGCACTGCAGTTCATTGGGCAGCCCTCAACGGACATGTCGAGGCTCTCGAAAGCGCCAAAGCATCATGCGTGTGTGTGTGTGTGCGTGGGTACGTGCGTGCGTGTTGGATCGCGTGGGCCGGAAAGAAGAGAAGCCCTATGTTACTAGTAGCGATGGCCTCCAACCTACTTGCGATGGCCTCCACCTAATAGCGTCCTTGTTTCTAGGATGATGCAGACATTTGACCAAATTAGACGAGCAGAACACCTGATGTCAGAAGATGTCAAATGTAGTCAGACATGTTTTGCTTGTTTAGGCCAGGGGGAGGAGGCCGCTAAAAGAAGGTCAGCTAGTTAGTAGCTATTAGGTACTAGACGCTACTACCTAGGACGCAGGATAGCTCAAACACTATTCACTTGAAAAGACAGCATTCGCTCACGAGCCACAGCTTGACACGTGCTCATAGCTGGAAAAAATACCCTCGGAAGGCGCTCAAGCTTTTGCTGGAATTCAAGGCGCCTTGCAGCTGTCAAATTCACGTGTCAGAGAAGGCCTAGGAAGCTGTAACATGAGAGAGCTGTCCACTCCCATCACAGTATCTCAACTTGCCATGCTCCGTAAGTCAGTAAAGGTGTGACATCACAATTTGTGCAATACCAAGGTCAATAGCCAACTGTGCTGTATTGGTCTTCGGTTTCACCAAGTGGCTTCAGTGGTCCTTGCTTCCCACATATCAGATATGGCTTTTCAACGGTCCGAACCCAGTAGACACCGATCCGGCTAGTTTTGCACAGGCAAATGCAGCACCCAAGCCCATTACCGAGCACCAGATGGCCAAGAGGAATGTGTTTTTGCCCTGCAGATTCTTCAGATCCCATGCAACCTGTGAAGAGAGGAATGACGATTGCTGTTTTTGACCCATTTTGGTGAGATCAATCATAGGCAGTATCATAGGCCAATAATAAGGCCAATACATGGTTGTGGCCATTCAGCTTGTTGTTGGTGCAGTTGGAGTGTTTGGGTGTTCATGAAGCCATGCCGGGCCTGAAGGACTCACCTCACACAGGCTGGATGGAGAGGGTTCTGAACCAACGGATGTTTTTTGCTGTTTTTTGGACAGGTGAAAGCAAGATCGTTCAACCAAGACCACATTCACATTTCGAGGAGCAGCCCCTGGAATTGGCACAGCGCGTGCATGGCCCTGACAGTGAGGTGGGGAAGTGAGCGGACTCACTCAGGCGATGGTCAGCGAGAATTGTCCAAGGAGAGACAACCAGAACGTCTGAATATTTTTGAATGGATTCCTGTGGATGCCTTGGGGTTCCTATGGAATCATATGGGTTCCTGGATGTGATAAAGGCTTTAAAGGCTTTAATGCAGGACCTTTAGGACAACATGCTCATGCTCTTGTTTTTTCAAGTGTAATAGGTCACTAGCTGAAGCTTGCAGCACGAATCACTGCAATACGCCGAGAAAGTTAAGTGCGATAGATTGGCAGGTGGTCCATCTTCTCCAAAAAGCCTTGCGACAAGAGGTGCCTTTGGAGCATCCTGAATAGGACATCCTCACAGTCAACAGTGCTTACTCTTGATGTCGCCTTTCAGCATAAACTCAATGAAACTCAATGCAGGGACAATGGGAGGAGAAAGAGGATGAGGCTTGGATGAGACAATGTCCGCCTCAGTCCAAGACGCAAAACAAGGGCTACCAAGCTTTGTTCACGGAAGATTGGTACACTCGGGAAAGAGAGGTGTTCGAGCGGGATGTGAAATGGTTCTTCAGTGTTCGACGTGAGCAGTAAACGTTCGGACGAAGTGCGTGCCTTGTCAGCTGTAAATCAATGTCACACCTGACTGCGCTCACAGAGCACATGTCACCCTTGAGTCAACTGATGTCAACAGGATTATGGAAGAAAGTCTGCACCTTTCCGCATTTGAGAGGAATATTCGTGCCATCATAGTTAGTCGTAGAATTTCTTGTTGTCACTGCTTTGCTGGAAGGATGCTCAGCTGCCCCAGTACGTGATGACTTTGAGCCAAGGAGGCTGAGCGTCTTTTTGTTTGTTATGGGGATTGATTGTGATTTCCGCCAAAAACGAAGCTAAACTCCAGTTGTCATACAGAAGGATGTTGAGATAGTTGGTCAGTGTGTAAACTTCAGATAAAGCTAGCTACATTTGGTTACATTTGGAGCCAGGGTTCCTTGATATCTTTAAACAAGGATCCGGGAGTTTGCCTCTTTAGAGACACTCTGATAGGTAGACGTCAAGTCTCAAACTATACCTCTAAATCCTTCCAAAGAATGGGAAGTGGATATCATCCCAGTGCTTTACCTGGGTATTATATAGTGAGTAAAAAATGTGCTGAGTATGTTTTGTTAGTCAGTCGTCATGTTTAAGGAGTTGCTTTTTTGCAGCCGGTTGGACCCTTGCTCTTTTCAAGACTGCTACACTTAACCTGAACCTGGGGGTTCCTAAAGAATGAAGGTGTCCAAGTTGGCCGAATTCGAAGAAATCAAGCTAGTCGAATGATACGACATATAGACGTGGTGAGCCCTCTCTGGCACACGGACAGGTTTGGACCGCTTGGCACTCTGGGAGCTTCGACGATTGAAGGCGAAGAGCATAAAGCGGGTTGGGATGCTGAGAGCGGCAATCACCATCAAAGTTCGTCCAGACTCTTCCACTTTGCAATACAGATTGATAGCATTTGATAGCTCCCACCATGATGCACTTATATAGATATCTGAAATACACTGTGCCATTGCAACGATTATGTTGCAATGGTCCTTTGCTGGTGAGATGTGCTTGTGTCCTCGAGACAACTTCTACTCTTGAGGGCTTTGAGCGCAGAACAATTTTAACTTCAATGTTGGCAGACGTCTACCATCGCAACATGGATTGACCGTCAGCAATCTAGAAGCACCAAACATGATTGCTCTAAGGTGCAATGCCGCATTTTCTTCCGTGCAGCATGTCCACCTGCCGCTTTGGCATCCTTGAAATCTGTACCTTGGCACAAACTGCTGAGAAATGCCGCAGCTGCTTTTTGTCCTTAGGGCGGTACTGTCTTGGACACGTTGAACTAAAGCTACCACTCTTATCTATTCTATGCAAGAGAGGGACAAGAGCAAACGACTCAGCCAACCTCCCCTGAGAGCCACTGGCATTTGTGCCTGTGGGGGCTTGGCCACTGAGTAAAAGGCGTGCCTTTCATTGGGCCAAGGCCGAAAAGGTATGCGCGGTGGCTGGAAGCCTAGTGTGGCGCTTCACCCCGAAATCATGAGGAGGACACAAGAAATCAGCGAGAAGGACAAGACAACCATGTAACAAAGCTCCGTGGACTGCCCTTCCAGTGAAAAAGTAGGGATAGTTGCAGGGTGTGATTCAGGTTGCGCTGTCACCATGTGATGATAGTAGGTCCTTTGACTCCTCTGATTGGTATTGGAACGAAACCCCCCATCTTATTAAGGAATGTAATGATACAGAGCACACGAAAGACGGTCACACGTCGATTGAAACTGGAAGCACTAGCCTGGCCCAACTCAACCCTCTCCTTTCAACAGTTGTATGCACGCAGCTAACTCCTCCCCCAGGTCTTGCATGCCGATGGCCGCGACTTGGCAACTGTGGCTTGGAAAGCATTTTTGGCAGAAATTTGTGCGTGCTATTGCTTGGGTTCACCAGATGAGTCAAAAATATCATTCAAACTTTCTGGTTCATTGCTGCCATGCATAACTTGAACGAGCCACAAACTGCCGCGTTGAGGTGTTGCAAGGAAAAGGTACCGATGACGAAAAACTGGAGGCCAGGTAATCGCCATGTGTCAAGAACAATGGATGTATCATATGTATCATGATGCATTGATGAACACTCATTCCACCAACTTTTTGTCATGTATATCCGTGATTGAAAGCTATCAGAACTTTCAGAACCTTCGATTGTTCTTTAGGTCTTGGCAGCGTGGTTAGTAAATGCCGCCGGTTGGCCCAAAGCTGTGGCCACATGGTGACTGGGCTGACACAGTGACAATACATAGTTAGGGAATGGCATGCGCATCAATGCGATGGTTTTGACGGGTCCAGAACATTTCGCCTCGGTGGTGCATGTGATTCATGGCAAGCTGAGCATTCCTAGGTGGAAATTCAACGGGATATCACAGGAAGACCATGAAGGCCGACTGTGAATCGTTACAATGCGTTACAATCTCGTAGCAAGGGTTGGATTGTAGTCCTGACATATCCTGACAGGTTGTGAAGTCCTGAGATGTTGTTCCAAGTGCGTAGCGGCTTTTGAGCTAGCCCGAGAGCAAGTGTTTGCAAAGCAGAATTGAATATGGTGTGTGTGCGCTTTGTTTGTTTATGACTCTTTCCCTACAGGCTCCACTCCCATTAAGTTCAGTTCAGCTTTGCTGGCTGGGATGCTTCATGGAACACTATGTTGCCAAAAGAACGCGGCGCCGATATACAATTTTGTGTTCGCCCAATATATACCCGAGAAGTACGAGACTTCCAAACTGACGTGTACTTGCGTTGTTCTTTTGGCCGATCAGCAGACGCGTTTTGATGGCCAGGTGGAGTGTTGACGTGTGCCAGAGCATGTTTGGCCAGGGGAGGAAATAGATACAATATATACTATAAATGGATGTTTGATTCATTGCATTCCTTGGATTCAGTGCGCTAAAACTCTGCAGCTTGACAAGGTGTATGTGTTTACGTTTCTTTGATTGATTGATACTTTCATATTACTGTATATTGGTTCTATATGTTTGTTCGAGTGCAAGATTTGGAGGACGATTGCTTCAGAACTTGCATGTTGCAGCCGCGAAACACAAGCTAAGCTGGTTGAACCAACGAGCCATGCTGGCAGAGGAAAAGCCGTTGAACCTCACGGTGGAGCCACCTGCAGGTGTTTCTTGGCAACATCGGCGCCACGTGTGCCCTGTACCAATACACTTTGCTTTAGGCCCCAAGGATCTGGTGAGTGGAGATGAAGCAAGGATTGACAGCATACCTTGATCCTAGAGCCACAATAGGTGTCCAAGGGGTGGATCTGCTGGATCTGCGACCAACTGGCATGGATGTGGTCAAAACAATGAGTTGTTTGGGGGATTGGGACATGTGACACATTCTCAGGTTCCGCGGCGTGCCACCCTCTTGTGGGTGCCTGGTGCAACACATGACTCAGCGGCTATTTACTCTGGGCCGATGAAAGCACTCGCACCGAAGGGATATCGTTCAGTAGCCTTGCAGCTACAAAAGTCCCGCTGCACATCGTTAAGCAATTATGTGAGCCAGGCCAGGATGGTTGCAGCACCGCAGGATGTCTAGCTTTCTTAATAGCCAAGCTCCATCTTCAGAACATGAAATTTTGAAACAATCATGTGGTCAGTGATTGAACCGATCCAAAGATGCAACGCAGAAGTCATTGGGCTTTGGTGAGGGTTTTCACCATCGTTTATCGTGCTCAGGTGGAAGCCGCACTTATGGACTTGGAGGAGACATCCGGTACAGCAAGTGGATGCAAATGATTTAGCTTGGAAGCACAGAGTTCCGATCAAGATTTGGGTACTCGCACCATGTAATCAATCACCGACCACTCTTTGCAAAGAGCATTGTCCCCTTTGGTGCAGACGATCTCTTGAATGTCGACATCTACTTTGAGTCCAACTCAGCCCTCCAGTGAAGCCTTTGTTTCTTTCAAGATCTTTTATGCGCCAGTGTTTCAGTCTAGCTCGGCATGACACAGGAGCCGGTGTTTCTTGTCGGCCATTCACTGGGTGGTGCCATCGTAGAGGCGCTGGCTCCGTGTGAGCGAAGGTACAAATGTTCCAAGCCATACCGAAGAGAGCACAAATGTTTGGAATGGGTGTTTTAGTACAGAGCCTATGAAGGTGTGTTGCAAATGTCTCCAAATGAATGCTTGGCAAAGCACTTTGCCACAGTGAGGTGCTGCTCACAAGACGGCCCGACGCAGCGGCGAAGGTGCATGGTGCTGTCCTGCTATGTGCAGTTCCCGTGATGAGCTTTTGCTGCCTGGGAGCATGAGATTGCTGCTTTCTAAGTGTTTCATTCAGGTGTTATTACCTGCCGCATGTTGTAGCTGATTAAAGGCCTTATGGGGACTCCAGTACCAAGGCTGTCCATTCCACTTCACTCCTCTTCTTTTTTGTAATGCTTTGCTTCCTTCCTTCTCCATCTTGGCCCTTTTGTCCTCCAGCTTGGCCATGGTCCAAGGTTGAAGGAAGTGTATTGAGTCGTTACATTGCCTGAACTTTTAAGCCACCAGCTCGCAATTTTGGCCCAGGCGAATACCTGAAATTTTTTCATCTACCTCTTGTGTCGTTGGTTCCTGGGCGTTTTGATGGTCCTCCTCACACTGAATGTCGCACAGCTGGTGGGGGGGTGGTGACTGTTGCCGCTCTGCCCAGCGTTGCAAAGCCATTGGCCACCTGGCAGTGCACCCAAGAGGGGGAGTGCCGTGCAGAGCTAAGGAGTGTTGAAGAGGTAGGTTCGTATTGTGAAGCTGCAGAAGATCTATATAGTCCATTGTTATTGTATGTGGGAGCCGATCGTAAATGCAAATCTAAGAATTATGAAAGGGCATGTGTATCTCAGCATCTGCGATTGTAAAACCCTGCATCGCGATTGATCGGCGATTGGTTCGCGATTGAGACAAACATTTGTTGTATCAGAATCGACCATTGTAAGAGGAGAAATCAGTATTATATGGGATGATAATTATGTTACAGTTCAGCCTTACACTGTATTCGGGTTTGCCTAGACACTGTGTTCAATCGTGATAGCCAATATAGCAAAGAAGAATCAGAACAACAAAGTTCAAAGTCTACCAGCCCAGATCAATTCAATTCTCAAAAAAATGTCGACGAAATCCGCGATTGATCCGCGATTGTGCCGCGATTGTTAAACCCGCCTGAGTAGGCCCTGGCTCACGCCATGTCTCTAAATACTGTGATATGTAGCAATGTTTCGACGATTCTTTGCGTAAAATAGTGTTGCATACGAGAGCACTCTCCCGCGATTGACACCGTTGGGGTCGCGATTGATTCGCGATTGATCGGCGATTGTAGCTGCCTCAGATACCTTTATTTTGATCAACACCCATGTGTTTGTTTGGAGAATCATGATGGAAACACCATACACTTTGTTAGATTGTAGCGGAAGATCAAGACTAGACCGGACCAAATCATGAACATGGCACTGGGCATTCTTTCTCTCATTGTTTCTCTACATGTATACATTGATTTGCCATTTTCTGCAACCTGAGTAATAAGTGGCAATGCCGGATACTCTTTCAGGCGTTTCAAACGCTGTCAGGGTCAAGAGCTTCGATCACCATAATACCACCCAATCCTTGCATCAAGACAAAGCTTCGGACAGCGTCCACAAATAAAGTTGCATTCAAGACAGTACTTGGATAGGCATTGCGGAACAAGTGATGGTCTTCTTGCATGAATGCTTGAGTACACAATATGTAATGTGGGATCGGTCATGTTTATATATACCAAAATGCTGTCTGAATCTGCAAGCTGCTGCTTAGGCTTTGCCGAGGATCCAGATTATGTCACGATCACTGGTGACAGACAATCTTTTGAAGAGTATCATCAAGGATCGCATGGGTAGCCTTCGCTGATGACAGAGGCAAATGGAACCTTCAACCCATGCTTTCACATGAAGAGGTGGGCATAATGGCAATCAAGGAACGATGTGAATGGATCAAAGATGTGGAGAAGTAGTTAAAAGAGTTGTAAGGGGAAGTGCAACTGTCACTGCAGCCAATCTTTTGTTCAGGAGTTGCCAGGGTGGAGTCAATCCCCTTGCTTCTGGGCCTTTTGTGCTACAGCATCACAGCACCTGGCAATGCCAAGGAATTGGGAGCACAATTGCGTTGCCCGTTCATCCCTCAATGTGAAATGCCAGTAAGATAACAATGTACCTTTGGAGCTAATCATGGGCAAGATTGTAACGAATTCATCAGGCCCCTCTGAGATAGAAAGTTCTGTGATGGACTCTGATGGACCATGACACAATCATGCCATATTTGCCCTGTTATACTGTAGCATGTTGTGACTCTCGAAGTGGCAGAGGGGCAGACACTTCATATCAGTGCATCACAAGGAGAACGGCCCAAATGGCCCAGCAGAGTCTGCTCAAGGGGTATTACAACAGAACGGTTGTTCTTCTATCACAAATGGTTGCTAATGACTTCCATCCAAATCAATCAGAGAATCATTGTAGGAAGTTGTTTGTTGTTTTTGTAGAGAGTGCTGGTAGTACTCTTCTTGAGAATAATATTGATAAAAGACGCTGTTTGATCGCGCGATCAAAGTGAATGTCACATACACACTGCAGTTGTGAAAGTTGGATACTCCAGCTCTGAAGGACTTGACGGGTACTGCAGCTGCAGTGCTGGCAGCTGAAAAGGACGTCCTGACTCCTTCCTGGATGCACAAGAGTGCCTCTTCTTTTCTCTAGGCTCTCGATGAAGCTGCTTTTCAATAGCCGATGAAGCAATAGAAAACTTGAAATCAAGAAGCCAAGGAAATGAATTCCTTGAAGGTCCACATTAGGGGCTTGACAGCTGCCTCAAATCCGAACAGTCAAGGTACCGCCGCAGCATGGTCGACAAACATCGAAGGGATTTCTGATCAAGGCCTTTGGCGATTGTTACTTTGCAGTCAAAGCTACTAGGGGCTCCTGGCATCGCTACTAGAAGCAAGGACGCTACTAGGGGCTCCTGGCCTTACTACTAGGAACAAGAAGCTACTAGGGGCTCCTGGCATTCGCTACTAGGAGCAAGGACGCTACTAGGGGCTCCTCGCCTTACTACTAGGAACAAGAAGCTACTAGGGGCTCCTGGCATCGCTACTAGAAGCAAGGTTGCTACTAGGGGCTCCTGTCCTTACTACTAGGAACAAGAAGCTACTAGGGGCTCCTGGCATCGCTACTAGGAGCAAGGACGCTACTAGGGGCTCCTGGCCTTACTACTAGGAACACGAAGCTACCAGTGACAAGGGCATCTCTTCTAGGAGCAAGGACCACACATGATTGTTTTGAAGTTGAGACCGGATTAGACCGCACTGAAAGTCACGTGTCCAAGAAAGGTCTAGACGTCAATCATCGGCAGTTTGTTGGAAGCAAATTCGAGGCCATTTTGTTTCTGACTCGAAGTGGCAGTCAACGTTCCTCGGCTCGGATTGTTTTGACTTTCCTGCTGAAGTCTTCGTGGGCTCGGCCAAAGGTTCTGCCAAAGTTGCTTTCAGAATGACGCACCATTGGAAGAATGTGGAAGAGTAATTGTGTGTGTGTGACTGTGTGTTTCTTTGCAAAAGGGAGTTGTTCAAGTGGTGCTCCAGCATGTTTCAAGTCGTTCTGGCAAGTTTTGGGTCTTCAAAGGCCTTTCAACATCTTGCAACAAAGACGGATGTGTGTTTTTTTGCTTCGCTTCGTGCACCATTCAGGCTGGTCCCTGCGCTGGAAGATGCACTGCTGAAGCTCAAGCCATGAGACCATGAGCCAAAAGGAGAGTCCTCAGTACCTAGCAGCACCTGCCATGGATGGTTTGTTTGCTGTGGAACAAGTTGGTTATTTTGAAAAATCTGCCACGGAGAGCGAGCCAGCATCGTACTGGTACGAAAGCTCTCTTTGGAACTGTTTGATATGCCATGGTTCAGCTGCTTCAGCCAGGTTCAAGATCACTTGCAGACGCTCTGGCAAGAAGTTTGCACAGATCTCTTCGCAAGGTGGGGCCTGAAACTCTCAATGGAGGCATGACGAGTGGGCCGATCCACCACATAGCTCAAATTTGGCTTTTCTGTGGCGCAGCTGAGTCAGAGCCTATGGCCCACCGGCTTAGCCTGAGTGAACCACACCAAACTCCAGTTGAAGGTGACAAGCAATTGCTCAAATGAGGAATGTGCTATGGCCCATGGCGGACTGACCAGTCCATGTCAATATCAGCCCCCGTTCTGGATGTGTGTGACGTGTGTGTGTTTGGCCAGGATTAGCGGTGGTAGCCGCATCGGCAATTACTGCCCAACAAGGCAGCTGGCAATTTGGATTCATGATTCATAGGAGGGGCACAGGGCAGACGATAAATATCAGTCCTGTATGTTGACGGATGGCTGCTGAGTTTGCATTGTCAAATCTGTTGTTTTGGGCTGCGACAATAGGGTTGATAGGCTCTTGATTCCATTGCGTGAAGTCATATTCACGGGTTCCGTAGCAGATGATCGCCACAGGCTGGCGAGCGCAGGCCTGCCGCAACTCGAGATGGCTTGCATGTCCTCCAAGTATTGGCACTAGTTGGACAGCAGTGCCATGCGGCATGCGGTGTGTCAGAGGTGTGCTGAGCCAATGCTGACATGTAGTTGTAACACGTTGTAACTAGGATCATTGAAGGCTTGTCTACTTAAGGTTCCACAAGGACAATCTTATTTGCACCATCGGCTACGCTAGGACATTAGGTCTCCTTTTTGGAACAATTCACCGTGATGGCTTCCTTGCGTTGAATGGGTGCAGAGGATGGTTTGCTTCGAAGATCTTCGAAGCGATATCCGCGTCAAAGAAGAAAGTAGCAGGGAGTTGTAAATGTGCATCAAAATGATTCCAGGCCTTGGTAGTTGTGAAGACAGCAAGACTGGGGGGTCATACGGAGCGAGACGGGAGCAGTGTGGCAGGTGCGACGACCTGACATGGAGATTCGAATTCTTGCTGGAGGGCCCAGCAAGGGACAGCGCATTATTTGCTCATAGTATGGGGAGAGCCAGGAGAGCTGCCACATCGCAAGGTTCCATGAGAATGCACCCGGTTTTGTAACATCTATATGGATCAGTGTGGGACTGTCAATTATCACCCCTTTTGAATCTATAACAATCATATTTTTGAACAAGTTATGAGGGAGGACATTTGACCGTGTGAGGAGCTATAAGCATATTGCAGGGTTCTAAGGTAAAAGGGTTGCAAAAGTGAAAATCTCAAGAAGAAGAACGTAGAAAGACTCCTTGCTGTCCCCAATACACAGGGAAAAGATTCCTTGCTCAGCCATTCCATTTTGAACCGGCCCCGGTGTGTCTCCCAACACCAACACGTGTTCTATCCTACCCTTGTCACGAAAGGTAGCCCTTTAGGGGATACCTTGAGTTTGTCTTGCGAAGCAAGTGTTGGGACGTCCGGGTCTAATAATTGATCGCTCAATTCAGACCCCCCCCCCCTCCCCCCCTCTAAAATCAATTCTCTCCTGGAGAACGTCTTCGTGAGCCTCTCATGATTTCAGGATAGTTGAACCCCTCTTGAACATTCAGAAAGAGTGAATATGAAATTCTAATCACGAAAGGTGTTCCCCGAGGGGATACATACCTAGAGTTTGTTTTGTGAAGTACGTCAATTCTCTCCTGGGGAGCGTCTTCGTGAGCCTCTTATGGTTTCAGGATAGTTCAAATCCTATGATGTTCCGATTCAATGCTCACCGATGATCTGAGCCATGGGGCAAGTTTGTTTTCTTAAGAATCTTTTTGAACATTTCGAGAGTACATGTTTGAACATTTAAAGTGCATATGAACATATATTTACGAAAGGTCGCCTCCGAGGGGATAAATCACCATGTCGAACATTGCATTTTTGTTCCTGCCTCTCGCGTTCTCTTCTCTTCCCGCTGTCCTACCTTTCGTGTCTCCCTCCTCTCAAGTTTCATAGCCTACTTCTTGGCAAGACGTGTCTTGCACCCTCACAAGTACAAGTAGGCTGGAGGCCATCGCTACTAGGGTGGAGGCCATCGCTACTAGGGTGGACGCCATCGCTAGTAGGTTGGAGGCCATCCCTAGTAGGTTAGAGGCTATCGGCTATCGCTACTGGGGTGGAGGACATCGCTACTAGGTTGGAGGCTATCGCTACTAGGGTGGAAGCCATCGGTACTAGGTTGGGGGGCCATCGCTATTAGGTTGGAGGCCATCGGTACTAGGTTGGAAGCCATCGCTATTAGGTTGGAGCTATTAGGGTGGAGGCCATTGCTACGTGGATGCCATCGCTAGGTTAGAGGCCATCGCTTTTTGTTTGGAGACAATCGGTACTAGGTTGGAGGCCATCGCTATTAGGGTGGAGGCCATTAGCTACCTGGCCTGGATGCCATGGCTAGTAGGTTGGAGGCCGTCGCTATTAGGGTGGAGGCCATCGCTATTAGGTCGGAGGCTATCACTACTAGGGTGGAGGCCATCGCTATTAGGTTGGAGGCTATCGCTACTAGGGTGGAGGCCATCGCTATTGGGTTGGAGGCTATCGCTACCAGGGTGGAGGCCATCGCTATTGGGTTGGAGGCTATCGCTACTAGGGTGGAAGCCATCGCTGTAGGTTGGAGGCTATCGCTACTAGGGTGGAGGCCTTTGCTATTAGGTTGGAGGCTATCGCTACCAGGGTGGAGGCCATCGCTATTGAATATTGGGTTGGAGGCTATCGCTACTAGGGTGGAGGCCATCGCTAGTAGATTGGAGGCCATCGCTATTGCTTATCCTACGGAGGTGAGCGACTCCGACCTTCTGCTGGACCTGCCTCTCCTTGTCTACGACTTGGAAGTTGAGATTTCTTCCTGGAGTGGCAAGGAAAGCTCAAGGAGTAGAATTTCATATTTTGATAGAACCATCCTCCCTGATACAAGCGAGAGGATATCGTCGAAGAGGTACAGAACTTCATGCGGATTGGCGGGGAGCTGTCCTCCTCTGGCATGGCAGCACCTGTCGTGAGGGCCTCCAATGGAATCGCGAATGTGTCCGCGGTCTACTTTGGTGCAATTTGCTGGGTATACTCCTTTCGAATTTGTCATGAGGATATCAAATTGCATTACAACATGTTCAGGAGCTTGATTCACGAGCCACATCATGCATAGTTCACATTTTGACGAAAAACACTTGTCCAAGCTGGAGTCAGAGGGGGAAGTGGTGGTACATCATTCCACTTCACGGTGATGTTTTTTCATCAGGAGGTTTGACCATCTGATTTCTGAAGCCACATGTTTTGGAGTTAGACGTCATTTGTTTTATATTGGTGAAGTCAAACAACATGTCGTTCTATAGAACATTAGAGCCGGATTCCACGTTCGGAGTTTGGCCGAAGAAAGTTGAGATCAGTGTAAACATGTGTAAAAGATCGTACAAGGATTGATAAGCCACATCCTTGCCACTTTTGTGGTTACCATGCCGCCCTAATTTCACCGGACTCTTGTTTCTGAGTTTTTTGAGCCGAAGAGCGCTTGAAGAATAAGATCTTCGTACCAAGGCTTGGGCCATGGCACGCTGCGCTGAGCTCAAGCCAGGTGAAACAGTCCTGGACCCCATGTGTGGTAAGGCGAGGAAGGTCTGTGTTGAGACAAGAGCTGAGGTGAAAGAAATGCAAAAGATTTAAAGAGAGAAGGATCCAATTTGAAACATGACATGAAGATTTTGTAGCTGTGAAGAGGTTGAATGTGTTTGCGTGACTGGCTGTTCACCAGAAAGAGTTCAAGCTGAGAATAGATTTGAGTAATGTGTGGAGTAGCTACAGCTCCACGTTTGATGAGTAGGAGTTTTTGGAAAAAGACCAGCGAGCCTGATTTCAGGCAGTGATTCTGGTGGAGGCCACAGCTTCTACCTTGTGTCCATTCTCTCTCAATGGCTAAGTACTAGGCACCCAAGAAACTGATGCATTAATTTTGCTTGTGGTGTTCCCTTTGCTTCTTTAGACCTGTTAGATCCTTTGGACCGTTCTTTGTTTTTTTCCCTTTCTTTACACGTTTAAACCTGTCTTTGAAATTCTGTGCTTTTTTCATACTTTCTTTAGACCTTTAGACCTTTCCTTCTTGTGTTCTTTAGACTTGGGCAATTCTTTCTTGTTTGCTCTTGATTGATTTCTTTAGACCAGACCTTTCTTTCTTGTTTTTGCTTTTGTGAGTTGGGCATAGTTGGGCCTTTCTTTCTTTCTGTGTTTCTTTCTTTCTTTTCTTGGCTTTTGTCCTTGGAGCCTTAGACTGATCTTTATTTTCTTTTTTTCACTGTAAACACTTGGACCTTTCTGTCGAGTCTATCTTCTGTTCGTTCCTTGTCTCTCTTTTTTCTCGAGCTAGCTCAAAGCTATATGGGGTTCCTACTTCTTGACCGGGTGGCTGATCGACGTTTTGCTCTACCACTGCTGCGTTGTCTCCCAACTTGTGCCTCTGTGATCGGCGTTTTGTCTTCCGCTGCCGTGCCTCCGTGCTCCGTGTCGCCCCCTGTGTGGTCGGCGTTTTGAAACAGCCACTTGGGATCACTTGGGCATGTGCTGAAACTGCAGGCACGGAGCCCGAAGAAGATTACAAAATGTGTGAAGTCACGCAGAGAAGGGTTTTTGGAGACACTCAGATCACTGGAAGCTCAAAGCTCTCATGGATTTGTTTTGTGAATTGCTTTACTTCTTGTCTGAGGTGCTGCTGTTTTGTTGAGCTTGTAGCTATTTGGGGTCTATGCCGGTGTAATTTCTTCTTGACATCCGCATATGCACATCTAGCGCACCCAAGCATGGCAGATGCAGAAAGTGTTCAGGAAGATTTCAGAGTTCGAAAAAAGTTGGAGTTGAGGCGGCATTGAGTTGGCCCCTTTGTCACTACCTTGGTGGTGCACTAAGATCTTGACTTAGATGTGAGTACGATGAGGCTTGGGAGTAATTGAGAGGCCTTTGTCGCAAAACTTTCATGGAAGTAACAGTAACGCGCTCATGGTGCCAGTCAACGAGGTGTCGACATTGATGCAGATCAATTGACAGGTGCCAATAGCAATGTTTGAGACCCAGTTTGGTTCCAAATGTATATTTCCCTGAAAGTTGGTGTCGCACTGTTGTCATATAAAGACAACCTCCAATGGTTGGTAGAGTAGCGTTGATCCTTTTGCTCGACAAAGGCATTTTTGGCCCATGCCAGTGGCGCGCGGCTGGACTGTGGGAGTGGAGGGTGGCTGAATGCCCTTGATCATCCTTGATCCTTTGAGATCTCCCAGAAAAAGTTGCCATGCAAATGTTCAGTTCTGTATTCCGCCTAGGGCCTTGTTATACAAGTGTATTGGGCATTCCAATTGGTGCGGATTCTCAAATCTTGAAACTCGCTTCGACACTCATGAAAATGATGAAGTCAGGAAGCGTGTTCAACAGTGCAGACGAAGGACCTGCTTCAAGGTGATGCATGCAAATTGCCGTTGCCTGATGCCTCAGTCAGCATCTGAGACACTAGTCAAAAAGAGAGCTGGCAACCTGGAGATGACAAGCTGAAACATGCATGGCATGGATCAATGTCCATCCAACCTTATGGAGGTGTATTTCATTTGTTTGGCAAGCCTGACGCTTAGTAAAATACTGCCCATCAACATGCTGCTTTCAGTCAAGGTTGATGTGGTGATTTGCGATATCCCCTATGGGCGGCAATATGGCACCATTGAGGAATGCCGAGATACCTTGTACAAGGCTGTGTACATGTTGGAATCAAATCAGATGTTTGTTGATCAAACTGTGTCTCACCTGAGGGATTGTTCGGAATAATGTCATGACAATGTTGACCAGTTTGAGTACAGTACTGACAGTACTCCACAACATCACATGCTGGGTCATGGGACCATTGCCTCTGGCAAGGCTATATTGAAGGAGCTCGATCGAGCCCAAGACTCAGCTCAAAGGTCAATGGGATCTTTCGCCCTGCTGTCCTTTCACGACTCTTGTTCAACAACTGTTTGAGGATGTTCCAGGCGTTGCTTCACACATCATGGCAACAAAGCATTGCTGCAGATACAATGGCCTTAGTGTAAATTGGAAGATCGAATGCCATTGAGCAATCTGATACTAGGTCATTCAACGTGGCCCAGCTGGTCGGGCTATTCTTATTTCCTCCTTGGAGCAGGTTGGCAAACATCAGTGACTCATCAGTGTTGGCTATGGCTTTTCCCTAAGGATGGTAAGCAAAAGATTGTCGACTGCAGATCACAGGATGTGTTTGATTGCTTCTGGCTGCTGGGATATTAAATAGTGTTTTCAAGACAAGCTGGTGTTACAGGAGCCTTGGGTCTTCAAAGAGGCACAGCTGGAGTCAACAGAGGTGGGAAGTTCTGCGAGCAGATGCGGAAGCACCAAAAACTGTGCGACTTGAAAAAGCAATGTCCATCCTACAGCAATCTTCTTATAACATGAGCCCCTGCAATTGAGGCAGTATGGCGCTGCACGGCACGTCGAGAGCCGCGCCACCAGATGTGTCAAGAGTTGGAGCACCGTTATCCAATGTCGCAAAATGGTGTCCTTCCACAACTAAAAATGTCATTGCTTGTCACCTATTATGTACTCTGTGGTTACGCCGCATCATCCGCATCACTTCTTCATACCAGAGCCTTGCAACATGCAAGCATGTTCATTGAAGCTCATTTACTTTCGTTGAAGGGGCAAGTGTTGCAGTGGTGTTGTCTCGAAAAAGTGGCAAGGTTGAAGCTGGGCTTCCTAGATGCATCGATGTTCGTGCTGCGTCGAAGAGTACCAGGCAGAGCCCTGGGGTGTAAAATCGCTGGAGTGCAGGGCTCCTAGCAGTACAGAGACATGCTTCTTTGCTTTATTTGGCAGGCCAACAAGCTGGCGAGCTGCCAGAATTGTCCAAAAGGCTGTGGCTCCTCGCTTGCAAGAATGATCAGAATGTAGCAGCCAGATGCTACCGCCAGGTGTCGGTGGTGAGTTTATGGGCAGCGAGTGGGAAAAGGTTGGCACACTAGAATAGGAGCATGTATCTATTATTTCAAAGAAACTGGCACAAATAGATGTTGCTTGCTTTTATGGGAAACATGAGGTGGGAAACTTCGGCTGGTCGAGGAGATTGGGCTTCTTTGAAGGCTCGATTGCAAATCATGGAAATATGTGCACCTGGCCTTTCAGAAAGGAAATTTCATTTCTGATACAAGTAGTTCCCGGGCAAGCCGGCGGCGGAAGTTTCCTATAAGAAGAAATTGACCTATAGGAGTGTCCACGTTCTCTCCAACACGCGCGTCCTCCAGTCAAACGCACGCGCTCCGGACTTTTGACCCACGGGATTCCACGTGTGTAAGGTGTGTGTGCCCCCTGCGAGAGATGACACACATCCGGCCATCACGACTTGCCAAGGATGCGGTCCACATCGACACACATCCCACCGTGGCATTCTTCAGTGGCGGCAAACCTTGCATATCACACATCGGACTGAATGGAATCCGAATTTGAATGTAAAATCTGTCTTGAACTCTGAGACTATGTATGATGAGTCTTGTATGATGAGGGGTGTATGACAAGTGATGAATGATGAGTGGTGTATGTTGAGTGGTGTATGACGAGTGGTGTATGATGAGTGGTGTATGCTGACTGGTGTATGATGAGTGGTGTCTTGACCAGCAGTTGAATGTCCTGTCCTGCATAACTGCAACCAAATACTATCAGTATGAACTGAACGCGCACGCCGCGAGAGATGACTCAGCAGCGAGAGATGACTCAGTCGCGAGAGATGACTCAGCAGCGAGAGATGGCTATAGCGAGAGCTGACTCAGCAGCGAGAGATGAATGAGCAGCGAAAGATGACTCCTCCGGGTACTACACTGTTCGCCAGTACAACTCTAGTTGCACTACGAAGTCGCCAGTTTTTAGCTTCCAGCTGCACAGATTGCTCCGCGTGCTGAAGTTGCACTACAAAGTCGCCAGTTCTCATCGTCCAGCTTGCCAGATAGTACTACAAAGTCGCCAGTTCTCAGCTTCCAGCTCTACAGATTGCTCCGCGTACTAAAGTTGTACTAGAAAGTCGCCAGTTCTCACCATCC